GCACACAAGTGTGCTACAAGACAAATTCCCCTTGTTGCCCGCAGACTGGAATGATTTTCGAGCCAGACAGAAGTTGTCCCCACGGCCCGGGAACCGCTCCCGTAAAAGAATGCGGAATATTGTAGACTCACTGTGGGCTTGCAAAATCAGAAGCTCTCCCTGCTGACAGCGTGCTCCACCAAATCCAGCAGCTCTTCCTTGCCCATCCGCTCGCAAGCGGTGAGCCAGGCCTTTCCCACGCTCCAGCTGTCTTTTGGCCGTAGGGTAGCTCGGGCTTTTTGGGGATGCTGGAGCAGTGCGCGCCTCGCTGGAGCGGAGCCGTTCCAGCACTCCTTGGAAGCACGAGGCCGAGTGCCACTGTGGCACTGCTCCATTGCCAGTTCTAAGCTCCCAACGTTCGCGAGTTGAAGGCGTCATGGCAGACAAGGCTGAGGATGAGGGGCGCAGTCCCTCTGGAGAGGAAAGGCAGCGACGCCACAACGTCGTCCTTACGATAGATCGGCGGGTATGTTTCATCTGAAGTTCAAGATGTTCTAGTCATGATTTGCTGGGGCTGCAGCAGGGAGGTTGAAGGCGTCCTGGGGAGCCCTTGGGCAGGCGATTGTCGATGCTTCCAACCCGCCTGTGAGGTCTCAGTTTGCTGCCTCCAGAGGCACGTCCCAGGCCTCCAGAACCTAAGGTGTCAACGTGCATGACAACTTGGATTGGAGCACAGGCCCACATTTGCTTGAGCACAGGACTGCTTAGCCTTCCCGTCGGAGCCTTGAAGCAGTACATATCAATACCCAAGCATTCAAAGAGTTCACCTAGAACATGAGGCTGGGACCCGCTGAGGCGCGGGAGGCCTCGGCCGCTCTTTGGAATTTTGAGTCCATACTATTACTATTAGTAGTACGTACTACTATTGCTACTATTGCTACTATTATTACTACTACTACTACTACTACGACGACGACGACGACGACGACGACGACGACGACTACCACCACTACCACCACCACTACTACTATTATTATTGCTATTATGAATATACTACTATTCCTATTACTGTTATTATTACGCATATTACTGCAAATATGAATACGACTAGGATTACTGAATCACAGGTTGAAGAAGGGGCCCCGACAGACGCGCTGGATCTGGCTGTGGCTCGCGAGCCTGAGCAAAGCATCCCATGAGCTGTGTAGGGGCAGACCCTCTAATACGAATCATGGTACAAATACCAATAAGTATAATAGTACTAATAGTATTAATAATAACATGTAATAATACTAATAATCCTACTAGTAGCACACCTCAACCCATGCGAATGGCCACACACTGAGCCCTGGCCTTGCACGGGGGAGGGTACTCACCCTCCGCAACCATCCTGGCCAGACAAGCAGAACCGTGACATGAGCCATTGTCTAAACTCTTAATATTATCCCCCTGAATAACCTTTATAGTAGTCCCCTATATAAATTAACCCTTTTTAAGGAGTTTTGACTATAGCTCACATCTCCGTGTGTTGCAATCATCTTGCTCCATCCTCTGGTAGTGGGCTAGACGCTGCAAGTAGCGCCGCTGATGTCGATTCTCCCACTCCAGTCCGACTGACAGAAGGGAAGCGATAAATTGTCAGCTCTACCAAGCTCGAGAGTGTTTGCAATACTGCTGCCTCATTCAGCAATGCTCAAGAGACAAGCGCCCATGCCTATGTGTTGCTTGTTCCAGTCGACATCAATAATCTTGCTGGGCATGGCTGCCTTCACCACGCAGTTTGTATTTTGCGGCACAGAGACACAGAGGGGCGGAATCCCGGCCTAGCTCATGCAGCCATACCATTCAACATGGATTCTACTTGCTGTTTGCATGAGCCGCACGAGTCGAAACAGAATTGCACGCGGCATGCGCGTGTACAGCCCATGCTAAGCAAGATTGCCATGGCTGCCATTTCGAGATGAAAGTGCTCACATCCAATGCATTTTTATCACGCTTGCTGCTTGCACGATTCTGGACTCCAGCGCGGCGTATCGGGCTTGCACTCGTCCTCGTGGCGCCCGGAGAACTCTGCCTCCGACACTGACTTCATCGCTGTGTGTGCATACTCGGTCAACTGCCAGGCTCAACAATGGCTGTTGCACCCAATCATAGCAGGACGCATGAACCTCCACACTGACACTCAGATGTGCCTCCTGTCTGGTGGGCGCCCACCTCTGCCAGACTTCATGATGTGGACTAGCAATACGGCAATACGAGTACCAACCAAGTCAACGATCCTGTCCAACCACGTTGAGTAGTTGGTTGGAGCAAGTCTAGCTCGAAGCTGTTTCAGGGAAAGATAGATAGAGCATCTAAGAGCCTTTCTCACCAACCTTCAATCCTCCGTTTGAAGGGCGAGGCCTGGCTTTGCTCGAGCTGCAGCAGCCTGGCAGCATGGATCGGACCGGACGATCGGACGACGTGGTCGTTCCAATAGCAGCGATGGTGGCACTTGCGGCAGCCGTGGTGGCGGAGCGTACCGGTGGCAGTGGCAATCGTAGGCGGAAGTTCAATGCTGTGGGTCCACATGCTCTGCCCTGCAAACATGACTAACAGTCGAGGCCAACAAACATAGTATACTTCACGGCCTCTACTCTACACAACCATACCTCTCAACCCGAAACACTGCCTTGGAATTGCAATCATGTCTCTAGTATGTTCCGAAACGTGCGGAAAACGGAGTGCGGAAAACGGGGAAAGGCGACTGGGAAGGAAAAAAGTGCTGTAGAAAGGCACGACCAGGCTTGAGCAGGAAACCACTGACGACAAATAATCAGGATGTTCACGGTATTTCTCGGACGTCCTAGCCCCTCTTTAGCCTACTAAAACCGCGCCTGGAGCTGGGGAGACGCCTTGGGCGTTTCCAAACCTGGCACATGTTTGAACGAGGCAGGCAGTTCTTGACGGAACAAATCCACGCTGATGCCTCTGGCTTGCGCGTTGGGTCACTGCGAAAGCTGCAACAAGTTGGCACCCTTTATGCTCAACAGATGCCCCGTCCTGACTATGCTGGAGACTCTTTTTTCCAACAGGTCACGCACCCTGTACTGTAGCGTCTGTCAGAACCGGAGCTTTTATTTTTTCGATTGGCACCATGTTCGTCAATCGCCACGTGTTGCATTTAAACCCTTCAGAAGGTCTTTGCTGGAGAGACATGCTGGTCCGCAAGTTGTGAGTGGCGTGGCCATCGAACTGCATCCTTCCTTTGGAAAGATGCAAGTACTGAAGTACTGAGCAGGTTCTGCGATATACTACGAACGCTACGAACTTGAGTCTCTGGAGCGATGCTCTGCTTGCAGAGACACATCGGAAGTTCAAAAAATCTTGTCTTGCGGCAGCTACAGCATCCTTCCAGATTTGCAGGCTGACTGGGTTTGCGGAGTCTTTGTGTCTTTGCTGCAGCAGCTGCGAAGCCAATGTTCGTCGTCGGTTGCAGCGAAGCTGCACTAAATCAGCCAGCGCCCCAAGCTGTTGCGCAGCGCAGATTAGTCTACACCCTGGGACTGTATTATCACGGCCTTAGGTCCCAAATACCAATCACTACCAGTCTGATTAGTGTTTGGGCCCTGAAAACCCATTATTTGAGTTGGGGCAGCTGGACTCTAACCGCACTGCTGCGCGTCATCCATAGGTCTTATTGTGAATAGCAAGCTGAAACATTGTTGCGACGCGCCATAACGCCTCACAGAATGAAAGACCCGCAAGCCTCTCAGAAAGACAGATAGGGATCTGTCTACTGCTACCCAGTTCCTGGGTCGGGCCCATGTCTGCCGGCCTTGCATCATTGCCGAAGTTAAGCCTTTCCTTGACTATGCTGCCACGACCCCCCCCCAGACATCGAACAAGCAGCTACTGTCTTAGACCGATGGTTCTGTGATGTCTGCAGTTTGAAGCTTTGGAAGCAACCTACAGCGTGCCTACCAAGTCCCGAGGATGCTGGCAACTGATCGGCAAACCAGGCTTCGGCCCAATGAAACCTTCCGGAACGATTTACAAAGACGCCCCCTAAAGCGGCCTAGGAGAGCGGCTGCATGCTTGGGGGCGGCTTGACGGGCGGCAGCTCAGACTCCATGGACCTCTTGGAGATCTTGGAGTTGTTGGAGGCCCTTGATTCCTTGGCATTCCTCCCACTTTTTTCGCTGTCCAGCATGAGCGATTGCTCATTGTCCTGCTCCACGATTCTTCTTTGCACGCTGAACCTGAGGGAGTGCGCACCCTTGGTCTTGGCAGGACATGACGCTCTTTGCTAATGGCATCGCCTCTCCACGCTGCTGTCGGAAGACGCCTCCGACTCGGAGCCCCTCGGATTCTGAAGAAGTGGCTTCTACATGGACGTGCTGAAAGAGAAGCGTTGCTAGACTGCAACCAAGAGGCTGGCTCACCTGCCAAAGCAGAAAAGCTCATCAGTGAATCAGCACAAGATTGTGCCAGCACAATAAGCGTTTTTCCTATTGCAGCATGGCAAAGCCACTAGCACAATAAGCGTGCTGTTTGCTTGCTTGGAATGGATCGTCTCTGCCCCGCACGGCTGCTTGGTTGAATGTTGTGATGCGACGTGTCCGACCTGTGCACCTCTTGCATCAAGTCTGTGCCTGCGAAGACAGCTGCCTGCGGAGCCCTCCCATCAGACCTCGCGCGCAAGGACAAATCTGTCTGAAACATTCCAAGTCCGCTCGGCTCTGCGAGCCAGAAGCAGACAGAGCATTGAGCCTGCAGAGTTGTGCCGGTTCAAGCTCCTGCAGGGGCATTTCACAACCAACCAGGCTGGTGATGCCCGCTGCCGCCCACGTCTCCAGGATCTAGCTATCACATGCTTGTGGACCTCTTTGACCACAAATATGTTGTGAAGTTTGAAGCCTCCACTAGTCCTTGCTGCCGGCATGTACCAGGCGGGGCGAACATCCAGGGAGCCCTTTGGGAACGTCTTCTTGACTATCCTGCTGCATTATGCAATTCGGAAACTTCGCCAAGAACATGCTGCAAATGAACAAAGCAACTGTCCTGCGGGCATTGTACTTCCCGATGTTCAGGTCGCTGCGGGAATCCTGTGCAGCAATGGATTATATCGCACGATGCAGCACAACAAACTCCGCGTGAGACTTTGTTTTGCCATTGCAGCCTTGTCGAAATACTTGTTCTGAATGTGGAGAGCCCTTTCTGCATACGCGCAGACCTGCAGCAAGGAGTACGATTCTGCTCTTTTCATCAATGTCATCAGCGTCGCAGCGCCCGTCGGCTTGTTACTTGTAGCTGTGGACCATTGCCGCTGGCATCTGACGGACTTCCAGTTGCATGGCTCCGCAAAGTATACAAAAATGACCTCTACCTATTTGTCACGGCGTGCTGAGCTCTGGCATGCTAAAGCTATCAATGTGGTTTCTGTCACCCGGTATTTTTTCTTGGAATTGCCTCCAGCTGGCAGTTCTTTGCGTGCTGGACGACGTCGAAGAACTGTGCTGCATCCAGGCACAGTATCCTTGCAAAACGCGGCAACCCTACGCGTGAGCTTGCAAATTTGATTTTCCTCAACATTCGCTTGGAACATATGTCGGCTGTACTGTCACGAGGAAAACTATCCCAATTTTAGCCAGGAATGAAGGAATAGATTGTCATAGTAGTCCTATGGAATCCCCAACAATGTAGTAGTTTGAATGTTCTTTTCCATTCACTTATTCACTCCCTACTTACTGGAGTTACGTCCAAGGTCCCTGCCACCCCAGCGCCCATCCCATCATTTTCCATTGTCTTCTCCATTTGATTCTTCATCATTGGGCTAATATCCCCATAGTCTCTACATCACCCCAATATGCTCCCAACCCTAAACCCTAGGCCCTAAGCCCTAAACCCAAAACCCAATAAATTCGACCCAGAAGTCTTGCAGTCAGTCTTGGCTCTCATTGACCCACAATGGCTCCAGGGACACCAGAGCACCTCATTGTCTAGCTTAGGGTGTAGGGTTTAGGGATCTTCGGGAAAATGAATCCTGTTTGGCAGCTTCTATACCATCCCAGTATACGCTCCATGGCATCCCTGTTACTCGTTCATTCTCTATGAACTGCCAGAATGAGCACACCCTCACTTCAAACTGGTTCCTTAACTTTCCAGCCCGCACAACGCCAGATGGGAGGGGCAGCGGGGTGGAAAGCGTGCATGATTGGCCCGTTGAGTGTTTGAGCCTGCTCAAGAGATGTCCAGATTCTTGGTACCCAAAATGTTCCAAACTGGCGGGTTTGCTAAGCCTAGTTGGTTGGCAGCAGCTTTTTGGCAAAGTGTGCTTCCTACCCCGAAGCTCCATGGCCAGGCTGCTATCACTAAGGGGGAGCCTGTTGCCAGAACTAGGGGCCCAGCCATCTCGCTGAAGTATGCCGGGGCCTGACAGGACGTCCATCGACATCTAAACTAATTAAGCATCTCTGTAATAGTACAAATAGCAGTAATGGAAACAGTAATGGTAATACTAGTAGTAGTACTACTAGTAGTAGTACTACTAGTAGTAGTAATAGTAGAAGTAGTAGAAGTAGTAGTAGTAGTAGTAGCAGTAGCAGCAGCAGCAGTAGCAGTACTAGTCTACTAGTAGTAGTAGTAGTACTAGTCTACTACTACTATTACTACTACTACTACTACTACTACTAGTGTAGTAGTAGTAGTAGTAGTAGTAGTATTAGTAGTAGTAGTAGTAGGGCAGCAACAGCAGCAGTCGCAGTAGTAGTACTACCGAGAATAGTAACAATAATAGTGCTAGCAGTAGTGTCTTGATTCGACCCGAGCCTGGACTGGGTATGGCGCGGGCTCATCCTCCTTGGTGTAGACCAGCGCACCAGAAATCGCCTCACCGTCAACGCGCCAATGGTCTTGTGGTGGTCTGGCAAACGGAGACATGGGTGTCGGCAATTTTTTGGAGCTGGCAGACACTTTCACGCAGATTGCGAATGATGAGCCCCAATGGTCTTAACTTGTACCTCCTAGGGCTCCATCTCGGTAATAGCAATAGTAGTAACAATAAGCATAGTAATCGCAATAGCAGTAGTAATAGTAAGAAAAAACGAGACTAATATATAATAGTAATAGCAATAGCATGCCGCCAGGGATCGAAGTACATTGTCTTGGCTGTTTCGCCCTTGGTGAAGAGGTAGTCGTCTGCAGACAGCTGCATCGTCCTCTGCATCTCTCGGGGTTGACGCATGGCAGGCCGGTCAGCAAGAGTATGAGACAGGCGGATTCATCGGTTTTGTCTGTTGTCAGTCAAACGGTCTCTGCCTGACATTGCATGCAGCTTGGATCAAAGAAGCTATCCACATGTCCGTCCGGTGTCGCCCACAACAAGTACATCGTCCTCAACGCCGTGTGACAAAGTTTCATCATCGCCGGCTCATTTAGGCGCGAGTAAGCGAAGAGCAGAGGGTGTTTGGTGAGTGTTGGGCCTCGAAGTCATCTGCAAACTATGCTCAACGTGACCCTTGTATCCAGACACGCCGGTGGATCCACCACTGGGCTGCCGACTGTGCATCTCAAAGTGCACCTCCATCTTCAAAGGCTCGGACCTCATTCAAGCTTTTCAGAGGGTCGGCAACGGAAGCTGGACCCAAACATGCTTCAAGACGCGTGATAGTGTATACCACACTACACGACACCTCAAAACGCTGCCGGGCAGGATGATTTGGCTCACGTGCAGTCCTTCCTTTCTGTGGTTTCATGCACGCCGGAGTTCTAGGTTTTGCGCGACGACAAGAACTATCACTCCATATAAGAAGACTAAGTCGCAAACCATTCCATATACGACAGCTGAGCAAAGGGTTGCTGCCAGAATTGCTGCACGTTGCAAGCCTAGCTCTCTCATGCAACATTCAACAGAACTTGAGCTCGCGACAGCCTCTGCAGCAACTCAATGTCTTGCTCCTGCAAGTGGCAAAGCATTGGGCATGGTTGTTTTTAGCTCTCAGAAGCCGAAACATAGTGCTTTTTCGACCCCCTACATGAAGAACCTTGAAATCATGCAACCTGCCAGACCAAGGCTGTGTTCTTGGCACACGTCCTCACATAGCAGTTTCCATGTCATGTTGGATTTTATGTTCCCTTTGATGCTGCATGATAGAGACTTCTCCCCCAACCTGCTAAAACCTATCCCTGTATGAAAAATCGCTAAAAGCCCAGCTTGCATTTATTTTTCATTTTCTGCTTCCCCAGTTGATTCACCTCTGTTGTGAAAATTCTCTTGAACCCTACAGCTGTAAATCCCCACCTATATGCCTTTTAACGGACCTATCTCCCCCAGCCACCACTGAAGGTGGAGGAAACTTGAACCCTGAAAACTGCCCCTTAGCCCCAAATCCCGACCCTATCCCTATCATGAATAATGAGGCGGAGGAAGCAGGCCTCTGGCTTCGAGCGTTTTTCAGCCAGCCTCTGATCAAGGTAGCGCCGCACCCGGATGGTCAGGTAGAAGGAGAATTTCCTCAGCAACTTGGGGTAAAACGAAGATTACCGCCTTTTTGCAAAATGCGCAAAGTACAAACAAGGCCAAGGCCGTCACCAGCTTTGCACAAGCCTAATGCCTTTAAGCTTTCCTGCCATCTCGGCCTGGAGACTCCCAGCCATGTGTGCCTCCAATGCCGATGCCGAGCTGCCGGCTCTGCATGAAGTCTTCCAGTTTGGAGAAGAGGATTTGTTCGCCACTTTCCAAGTTCCGCAAGTGCGTCATCAAGTTCGTAATGCTTGACCTGACTTGCACTGTCAGCTAGCGAGCCTTTCACAAGCCTACAGATCCCAAACAATTGGCGTCAAACAGTTGGGGCGCTGGCACGAAGGACGAGAAGGTGACAAGCGCGAAAATGACGACTGCCACATTAAAGGCTCGCTCTGGCAAAGTCTGAGGTTGAACCTGAGTTATCCCGGAAGCACACATTGCTTCAAAACAAGTCTGACGAGGTGCTCTAAGAGGTTGGAGGCATCTCAGGCTCTGGCAGACATGCTCGCGGGCGTAAACTGCGTTAAACTCCAGTGCAACGTGACAAGGTAGGAGTACCTTACAAAAGACATGCAGAACACGGGGAGCTGCCGTCAAACATTGACCTGTTCACTGCCATGATTTGGCTCAATGCCTGCCTGTCAACATCTCTCATGTTTCGTAACTGAACAGCAATCTGGCGAGGGACCACCAATCTGCAACTGGGATCTCGTAGACTTCCAGCCATCCACCTTGCTCCTGGCACACACACACACACACACCAGCCAAAGGAAAAACTCAACCATCTTCGCGTATAGTTAAGTTTAATAGCCACTTATGGTGGGCATGATAGACCCCAATCTGGCCGAGACAACGCTACACTGATGCAAGGTCAGATTTAGATGCCTTCGTCAAGCAATGGGATACACACAGGGTTTCGACTGTAAACACAGACATTGAACAGGAAATCCAAAATCCTCAATGTTGTGTATGTGGATTCATGGGGGCAATGCACATCGGAGAAGGCCCATCGTTGATCCAGCTGATCACGAAGACCGTCCCTGGACAACCCATCGGAAGGATGAGCATCTGAGATAATCCAACCGAAGCCCCAAATGGAGTAGGATGGCTGATAGATGGACAATGTGGCTTACATCTCGAGACCCCCTTGGCCCCCTAATCGCCCGAATCACCGCGGATGCTCCAGCTCCACTTTCAATGAATCAGAATACGTCCCGATTCTTGAAGGTTTGTGGAAAATTTCATGGAACCAGCAGGGGACAGAATGCTTCTGCGTCAGAGATCTGATTCCCGTTTAGCTCCCACTGGTTGATCCACCCTGGAGTCACGAGCAACGACTGCCCAGTGGGGGTACGGTACCGGGCGTGGTCGCAACCACATCTGGCCTGGTACACAACCAGTGGTCGCTGTGCGTGATGTTACCATGCCGGGAGCACTAGCGTTCCTTGATAAGGGCTGAGCGCCCACACTTACAATGGACCATGTAGCAAGGAGCCCGACGTAAGTTTGGATGCCACACCATCTGGATAGTGTCCCACACTCGGCTTCCGCCAAGTTGCGGACAGACATAAGAAAGAGGTCGTCGAAGTATTCTTTGCATGCTCGGCCGTCTATTGAACGACATAACGGCCGAGGATAGGCCATTAAGGAGGCCTGCGTAGACGAAGAATCTCCATGCTGTAGCTTCGAGAGAAGGTAGCCGCGATCGTGAACGTTTTCTGGTCCGGAAGAAGACATCAAAAAGATACTTCCACCCAACCCCTGGCGCATCAAAGAGCAGGGGTCCTTCCAACACTTTCCGTGACTTAAAGCTACGAGGTTTCCTCTCGCAGCTCTCGCGCTCATGATGAGCAGTCAGCGTCTCAGCAACCCTCTTCAAGTCCAGCCTCAATGACAAGCCTCGAAAGCCATTCAACGCTAGACACACACACATTACAAGCTGGACGTCCTTCGCGAGGTTCCCTACAATACCTTTCACAAATGGAGCATCTCTCTATTTCTAATGTTCCACCCTCTTTAGTATAGAGGCCCCCTAGAATGTGTTTTGGGCCGCCCGCTTATTGGGGATCAGGCGTAATGATTTCGAGGTCCCCTACAATGTGTTTTGCTTTTGGGGCCTTGAAAGTATAGGAAAGATTTCATCTGCAATTTTAGAAGGCATGCCTTTTAAAATCTTTTTCCAGCTCAGCCTTCAGAGCTTTAGATCCAGAATCCAGATACCAAATCCTAAATCTGCAGCCCACCAGTTTTATTCAAAACCCTTATTCCAAACCTTCAAATTCTTAGCCGTACTCAGTTGGGCAAAGGGGGTAATCTAGCAGGCTTCTGGATCCTCTTGAATGCCAATCGTTTTGAGGTCCTCTTTAATCTGCCGCCCTGGGCCCCAGTAAGTTTTGGGGCCCAGGCCAACTTTCAGCAAGAAAGACTTTGCATGCTTTAAGCTTCGAACTACGGGGCCTTTTTTTCATGGTTGCAGACCCCTATACAACTTGCATGGGGTCCTATCCCGAGTAAGGGGCTAGCATGGGTTGAGATAGAGCCCAGGCATAGGTCTATCGACGCCTATCATACACGGCTACTTCCCCTCTATCTTCGAGCACAACGATGTTTTGTCTACAGCACAAGGACGCAAGTGTCCTCACCAAGCAAATACCAGAATGAGGCAATCACGTGGTTGATGAAGAGGATTCCCAACAAGTGCCGAACCTGGACAGTTGCTTTTTGGGTGAAAAAGGGCAAAGACCATCACTTGCTTTGCACATCCGATGTGTACTTAACAAGTTTATGCCATCCAGCATTGCATGAGTACCAGGAAGCAAAATGCAGGCACATAGCCCTGACACGAGAATGCTGCAGCAATCCCCTCCCTGCATTGGAAACAAGCATCTCTGCATCCTGGGATCACACAGCTTGCACCAGGCAGAGTTCTGGGGACCCAGCAATGCCCAGGCTGAGGGTGATGTACTCGGACCGACTGATGAACATCGGCAGATACCGGAAGAACCCTGGCAGCTTAGCGGCCCGTAGCAGCTTTGCGGACCTGAGATGCAGCAACATCAGGAATTTGACTCCTGGATGCTGCCAGCACCGCTGTCACCACGCTGACTCTTCATTGCTCTCTGGGGCTTTGCTACTGCTATGACTTACTCTGATCGCAGCTACTCTTGGTATGACCAGCATCCGAGGCGCTTCAGGAACCGGAGGATCCTGAAGGACCTGCTCGAACGCAGGAGACTGGGCAAGGAAGGCAGGTCCGGCACCGCAGCGTCGATCCATTCAAACCTTGATCGCTCCTCTGAAAAGAGACACACCACCAACAGTTCCGACCCAACTGATGAATGTTCATGAGAGCTTGCCATTCCAGCCCACGGGGCATCAGCAGGATAAGGTCTGGCACCATCCAGGTTTTCGCGTAATTCCTGGATGTGTACTGCGGCCGCAGTTCCAGGGTGCCTTGCAGCACATGGGTCAAGGGGGGCAGGCCCATCAAGTGCTGAAGCGCATGTGCAGCCCCGCGGTTCTCAAAGCGAGACGGGATGCCTGAGACATAGTAACCCACGAAGAAGGCCAGGACAAAATCCAGCGTCCAAAAAGTGGCCGAGAAAATCGTCATCGGATGCCTAGGCTGCAGAGGCCTCCCCATGAAAGCTGCTAGGGGGGCACCCTTGTCAACATCCTCAAACTCCCAAACAAAACCCAACCTCGTGCCAGGAAGCTCAAAGCTGGTGATGTCCAAATTGTACACAGACAGTGGCACCAAAATCATGTCCTGCACAGAAGAGCAATAGACTTTACGTGGCGCTTGTTGTAAGGCCTTTGGTCTTGCAGATCTTACTGAGGCTCCCACATAGGCAATCAGCGCCAATGAGATTAGGAGCCAAAACCTCGAGAATAGCCGTGAACAGCTGCCGGCAGAAAAGCACGACATGCAACCAGCACCCAATGCAAGTTCAAGCAAACAATGCAGCGCAGCTGTCTGGAATGTCACTAAGCCGAGTTTCATTCGGCGCTTCCCGTCTGGCTCCATAATCATGGCCTGCAGATCTGAGTCAAAGGAGGTTGTCCCTACTCTTTGGGCAAAGAGGGGAAAATGGTTTCAGCCCTGCTGCAGAAGAAGCATGGCCTTGGGACTTACCTACATCCAAATTGGAGGAACATCTCTGAAATGCACACAGAACCCTTCACCCCAACACCACGTGAGCAACCTGCCAGGCCTTCAGTATTCTCGTTCCTCTGGTCTTTCCATCAATGGTCTGCTTCCCGTGGTGTACAGACAGCCTGCGTACAGCGGCATGAGACTATGTGGTGCGCAATCGGCTTGTCTCGACCCTCGTGGCGTCACTAGACCCGGGCATCACATGCCGACTACAGTTCTTGCTTTGGCTGCCACTGCTGCACGTAGAGCTGCAAGAGGAATTCCTTACTTTGAATATCGCGCCTGTTTGTGTGTGCAGAATAGCTTTGCATCGAGGCGCGGCGCTCCTGTGCTCATGCACGATTCACATCATATTCGCTGGAAGGTTCTGTCGACGCGAGCAATCCCGCAAGCAGCTAGTAGAAAGGTCCCGTCCTCCAAGATCGCTTCATCAGCCAGCTGAATCCTGAGAAACTAGCAAGTGCTGGCAAATCAATCTGCGAGCCTTCTGTTGCAACTGCCCGCTGCAAAGCAGTGCTTTGGAATGGGGACTGCGGACTCGTCTTGGGATGTGCCCAACGGCTGCTGACTCAGGCAGGACCCACGGACATTAAAGGGTTGGCCACATCTCTCCGCGAGCTGCAAACTGCGGGCCAGGTGCCAGGTCTCATATGGCTCCAGAGACAGGTCCACCTGACAACTTGAAAGCATGAGAATGGTGGGCCACACCCAAATTGCTTTGGAAATTTCAGCCATTTCAGAGCAGTTCGGCATGGCAGCGCATCTGTGCGGATTTGATGATGCAATTGGGGTAAAGATTTCAGAAAACCTGTCATTGGGCTGCCACACCCTCGACTTTGAGATCCCTGTTCTACCTGCCTGGTCCAGGGCGGGAGCCGATGTAGCTCTGGGACCCACGCCTTCAGACGCAGTCTACGGATCATATAATTAATTCAGCAGAGGCCGTGCTTTAATACTGCTGCCGCTTTTCAGAGGTTTTGCAAATTGAGGCGCTGGTCATGATTTCAGTTTGGGTCCTTCACACGGAGCTTTCATGAAATTCTATGCTGCATGTCCGTCGAACACTCTTCAGCAGTTGCAAGCGAAGCTGGCGGATAAAGTCCCAATGCTTAAACACTTGGCCAACCAAGAAGCTGAATTTACAGCAATTGCCAAGCTGCTAGGTATCTCGTTCGTGTGGTTCCGGCTTGAGTTTCGCTTCACTTCTGCCTGGGATCATGGATCAGCCTCACTTACATGCCACGGCAGCTTGCTGCGGCAATCGGCATGGAACCTCGAGCTTCAGCCAGGGCACCGTCCGAGCCCGGGCGGCAGCCGCTCGATGCGTTGCAGACCGATTAACGCCAGCACTCTCCGAGACGACACTGGACCTGTCAGGGCATATGTCTGCACGAAGAGGAGGAGGACACTCACACGATCATCCGCACCTGTTGGGCATGGTCTCAAGCGCCGAGCCCCTGGCAAAACGATCTTTCTATAGCAGCTGAAGTGGAGAGATTCTGAACAAAGGACTGTTGAAGGCTCAGCGGGTGATAGGGGCTTCGGCTGGCAAACAAAAGCAGCGTGGGGCTCCTCTCAAAAAGCAAGAAACCCAAAGCCTGACGGATATCTGATCAGTGTAGGCTTGAGGCAAAAGATTGTTGTACGTGGGTAGCGCGGATCTTCTTCTTCTTGTCATCGTTGTTTCTGCTTCTGGTCTTCTTCTCGTTGAAGGGTGGGATGAGTCTTTGAGAAAGAAAGCAGTACGAGCTGCGACGTGATGTCACAGCACCAAAGTTGTCACTTCTGGGACATGCGGTTTGAATCACTCTGCCCTGATCTGCCCTACACATCGCGCTGCCCAAGCCTGCGGGCTGACATGCCGAAGGTGTCAGTCGAAATAGACCTGCGAGGTGCAGACCAGCATTTCGCGATGGCAAGGTTGGAGGAGCAAAGAAGCCTGCTAAGGTAGTTTCGAAAAGCTGTGAAACGCTGGCACTGACAGTGGCATGCGCATTCCACGGAACAGGGTCGAAAGGGTCTTGGAGCTGCTAGGCCAGGCTCCTGGAATAACCTCTCTTTGTGGCGCCTGAGACGCCCTGCACTTTGTTTTTGTATTTGCCGCATGAACTTTCAGATGTGTGTTCTGCATTACCTGGCCTAGGCATCCTGATGCTGGCCAGTATGCCCAAGGCCAGCGCCACTACAAAGGCATGCTAGATCATTCCGGGCACCCTTCTCTGGCCTCCTTGTCGGCACGATGTCGCCAGAGGGCGACCTGGCACAAACAGAATGTCTTGCCATTCGAAACGGGGCATCTGCTTTTGCTTGGCTCTTCATGTTCAACCATCTGATCTGCATGATCTGAGCTACGACCGTGAGTTCAATGCCTTCTTGGTTGGCTTGATTGGCCCTTGCAGTGGGGCCTGAAGCTGACTTGGCCTGGGATGTCTCCACTGGGTGACCTGCATCACTGCATCACAGTGTGAGAAATGCTCCGCCAATCTGCTTGCTACGCCATACGCCCAAGCACTGCTCCTATCAAAGTGTTGTGGGACCTTGTGCTATATCGCTGGCGGCCCAGAGGTCTCGCAACCTCACAGGTACGCAGACAACTGTGCGTAAGGTTGAAAATCTGATTCTGCAGACCTCGTCAGACTCATCTGCGAAGGCTGGCTTCTGGCGCTTTGTCAGAGAACTCCGGGTGCGTATTTCAGAGGATTGCCTAAGCGCGATCAAAGCTGTAGCAACGGAAGAAACCAAGATGCGCCGTGCCCCAGCCCAACATCGATCTATGACGAATCTATTGCTGATCAATGAGGGAAATCTGAAAACCATCCCGCACATTCAGTGCTCCCAGGCGCTGTCGACCTGGCACGATCATCAGCATCTCCTGCTTTGCAGCTCCGTGAGCACAACGCGAACGCGAAGCTTCTTAAACATGTCTCTCCGCAAATCCAGAGCCTCAAGTGCAACATCCCGAAGTTCAACCAGAAGTGAGCTGCCCCTCTGAAAGCATAATGCCCCTGAGACCGTCGAAAACCAAAATCTTACAACAAAGTGCCACTCACTGACTTACACAACCCCAGAATCCCGCCTCAGTGCGCGAGTCAAAGGAGGCCAGCACGGCCTCAGCCTGAGCTTTGACGTGGTGGGAGCGAGACAAGGGGTGAGCTGTAATAGGTAAGTGGAGGTGGAGGAAACAGTGGCAGTGGTGGCAGCAGCAGTGGCGATGGTAAGAGAATTATTGCTGTTTTCCGATCATGATTCTGAATGCCATTGCGATTCTTATTCTGTAATTGATGTGATGGAGTTGGCACTGGTGGTAGTCGTAGCTTCGGGAGCGGCATGGTGGAGGCGGCGTAGGTGTTTATGTTGTAGCACCGGTAGCAGAGCAATAGCAACAACAGAAGCAGCAGTAGCAGCAGCAATAGCAGCAGCAATAGCAGCAACGCAGCAGAAGTAGAAGTAGCAGTACGAGTAATGTAGCAAAAATCATTGGTGGCGGTGGCGGCGGCGCCATTTTCGGTGGCGGCGGTGGTGGCCCTGGCGGCCGTCCACCACTCATGGCCAAACTGCGGCCTCACAACCCAAGCCCCTAGCAAATAGACGCAAATAGGCATCAATTTTGAGAGGGGCGGTTGCTACCATCCAACCTGGAACTGGCCTGCCGCCCACTCGTCAAATAGCCATTACATGGACGGATTTCTGCATAGTAGGTTACTGGGGCTCCCACCTCCTCCAAGTCAGGATGATTGCCTGGTGACCAGCCGCCTGCTTTCGGCAGGATCAACAAGATCAAGGTAAAGGTTATCAATTGCTTGATTTCTGAAGGCATGTGAGTTCCCAGGTCCAGTGCGGTAAGCTCCCAAAAGCCAGCCTGGCCCCTTGTCGCCCAGCTTCTCTTTGGCAAGCAAAACCGCAGATGGCGATGGGGCCTGCACCTTACAAATATCAATCTTATGGCCGCAGATTTCAGCGATCCTTAAAATGAGGAGCTCCAACGGATCAGTTGGCAAATACCTGCACGAAAGACTTCTGCCAGGTTGCTGAGAATGGACTGGGCAAAGGTGCGGTGAGGCTCTTCAAGGATCTTATGTTCTCCAAAGCAGAGCTGATCGAAAGCGCCCTGGGATCCTGCAGGCAGCAGAACGTCTGCAATGTCATGATGCTTGACATGCTCAGCTGCTCGTGTGTTGACTGTCCGTTCATTTCAAAAAGGCCTGTCCTTTTCCCCCAACTCACTCCGCAGAGCTTCAATCTCCATGCGCATTGCCGTCACCACGACCTGCCAGTGTCTCGTGCAAGAAAGTAAAGTGGCTAGAAACCTCTCGAGTTTCTCAGGGCGACTGCAGTGTCGCACTGGCTATGTAGCCAACTTTGGTACAACTAGTAGACTATCATGCCGCTGGCCATCTTAATTCTTGCGTCGGCAGCCAAGCCGGCCAAGCCTGGTGTCGTCGAAGCAGTGTCTGTGAGATCTCAGCCTTCACGGCACGGTTGAGCTCAAGCCCGTCTGTGTGGCGTGTCGAAATGCCACTTTGCTGCTGATGCCATGGAATTGCGTGTTGGGGTTGAAAAAGGAGTTTAGATTGCAGGAGTGCTGGTTGGAAACCTCCTGGTCTATTGCTTGCTTGGACATGAGCTGGAAATAGCAACTTCGCAGCCTGCTGCGCTAATAGCTGTACGAATTCAATATCTGTGTCTGCAGCAGCGGCCAGTGTCCCAGCACCTCTCGCAGAGGACAAATACTAACAGGATCTAACAGATCATAATGCAAATGACTGAGCAGGCCTGCAGCTGGCGAAGATGTCTCTGACATTGCGCCAGCGCAGCCGGGGAAACCGGGATTAGGTCCCGTGCAGTCTACGAGTCTACAATTCAAGGATGTATCCCTCTGCAGCTACTACTGATATGCACATGACTTGTTATTTTTGGGCGGACTGAGTCATCAGTCTATGGCAACCTTCTTGCTTGCCTGGCTACCTACAATTCCGCAAGAGCACGAACTATGAGCCAGCTACTTGTCAGTAGGGCGAGGTGACAAGCTTTCTCCATTGAACGAATATGCCGTCACATGCTTGTTGAACAGGCGATAACGATCAAGCAAACTAACAACTGAAGGGACCTGGCCGCACACCTCGAGAAGGAGGACTCTTACCGTTGCCCACCTGTCGAACTGAGTCGAAGTAAGGCTTTATCAGGGTTACGGCATCCTGGTATGTTGTTCAGATATGTTCTCATGAACAAACGGAGGGACAATGCCTGAGCAAAGCGAATTCAAGAGCACACGGCCTTCTGATATGCATCCCAAAGCCATCCTTGCGGAAATCCAAACTTCAGCAGCTCCGCTCAAAGCTGTCAGACATGCCGAGGGCAAGGCTTTGCGCGCTCATCGGGGTCGGCTCGGAAGGCGGTGAGCGTGAAAGCTGTGAGAGGGGCGATGGCGCCAGAGTTTCCACGTCAAAGCTGGATACCTGTTGCTTTGCATCTCACCAAACGAACTAACGGAACGATGAAAGCAAAACATGTAGTGGTCATGTAAGAGTCTGGAAATGACTTCTGCCTGCGCATCCTCCACGTCAGCAGGAAGCTTTGACGGCATTGGCAGGCCTGTCTTGTTCTCACGATTTCGGCCACCAACACGTGAGCGCTCACGTGAATTTGCAGGGAGGGGTTGCCCGCCTGCAACCTGTCCGCGTGCACGTGGGCTGCGGCTTGAAGGCTTCGCCTGCCATGGCCATTGCTAGTCTAATGGGGACGTCGCAGTTCAAGCAATTCAAACGAGCACACCTTGGGGGATCTGCGAGCCGGAGGGCCTCTGGAGGGACCTTGCACCTGGCTCCAGACACACTGCTTGTGCAGCAAGTACAGCAAGTGCAGCTGCAAAGCACAGTGCCTCTGGCTGAGGGCTTCTTGGCCGTGAGACCGAGCTGTCACAGCTCACCGGACTTGTAGGCTGGTTCTCCAGGGTGCTAGGCGTTGCAGCGGTCGCACGCGGCATGGCCTTCTTTGCAAGCCACATGTCCCTGCATCCTTGCTGCAATAATGAGTACACACTTTAAGGCTCATGTGCTGGGAGGCATGAACACAAGATGTTGGCAGGCCTGGAGCTTAGCAACGGCAACATCGTCCCCGACATCCTCCACAGAGCTGCTTCCAAGCAGCCCAAACCAACTCCGAACAAACAGAAGCAGAGAAGCAAAGCCAGCCTTTGCTGCAGCACTTGCACCTGGCTGCGCAGCATGGGCAGCTGCTGTCCTGCGGAAGAAGAAATTCTTTGGATCTGCATGCCTTGCAGACCTGATCTTGAAATGTACACTCACTCCAAGCTATCAGTCGCGGAGTCCTCGGCACGACGATCCGCTGTAGCAAAGTGGTACATACCGGCCGACTGCGACTCCGCCGCAGTGGCAGAGCTTGGGGAAGCGCCACGGGTTCCAGGCGCGTCGGCTGCTGGACAACTCTGTATGAGCTGGACGTTGGACAGGGCAAACTGGTTGCAAGGCAGGACAAAGGGGCGGACCACACCCATCGAGTGACGCTTGGTGAGTCAGGCCGCCGTGTCGGTATCAAAGTGCTTGTTGGACTGCTAGGCACTGGGAGGCTCGCGGGCAAGCTGGCAGTGTAGCAAGGCCAGTGGCTGCTAACAGATTTCAAATAAGCTGAAGGCGACGGCGTCCTGCTTTGGAACGCCCGTGGCTGCGATACCCAAGTTATTGGAGATAGCAGCCTGGTGTGGGACGTTGGTGTTGAGTAGCCTTGGGGTTCTGTGGGATAGCTGAAGCTTCTGATGGTGCCTCGCACTGACTGTGGCGGCTCGCTGCTTGCTCTTGGAGGCTGCTGCATGCCATGCATTGCAGGCATGCCAGGCCGGGAGACAAGAGTTTGAAAATGAGAAGGCATAAACGATGCCGAACTCATGCTGGACCCCCTGCTTTGGGCGGCCCAAGTTGAAACTGGCGAAGGCGATGGCGATCTTGTGGCCGTCTGCACCTCGGCTATTCCTTGAGGGGTCACTGCCAAACCGGCGAGCTCCATTAGCGCTGGGACAGGCCCAAAGAGCCATGGGATCTCGTCATTTGGCTTTCGCGTCCCACAGGCTTCCCGCTCCGAGGTGCGCCCCCGGCTAGTTGAGGAGGTTGATGCCTTGAACAAGTCGGGCTAAACTTGAATCATTCTTCCCATGACTTGCCTGGAGCATTGGCCACCCGCGGAGGCTGGTGCCTGGCAAGCACTTCACGTACCTCCAGCAAAGGAAGACTAGAAAAAATATTCTACAGGTTCCAGCCTGGCGTGCTCAAGCCCTCACACCTGAAGAAATCGCGGAGGGAATGATTACTCTAACACAGAGTGTCGCCATATGTGTGTCAGTCCCATAAGAGCAGTCTGAGCAGATGACCCTGGACGGGGCGGCGATGGTGGTCGCTGGTCAAGCCTTGGATGCGGAGGCCGCATTTCCACGACAAGTACAAACCTTGCACCTCCCTGCTCCTTTCAAGCCCTTGGTGCTTGGCCTGGATGTGAGGCTCTGGCCTGTCTGAGTCCAGAAGCAAAGACCCCAAAGTGCTTCTGTCGGAAAGCTGGACCTGACACATCAACCCATGGGCTCCAGCAAAAGCTCAACAAAAGCAAAGACAGCACGGTTGCCAGCGCGGACAAGTGGCGCCGTTGCACAAGCTCCAGCCTTCCGAGCAGCGGGATGTCAGCACGCGTTTTAAGCCCGTTGCGCTGCCAAAATGCGAGACTCATCAAAACTCTGAAGCCTGCCTGGTCCGGGGAACATGCCGCACGTCCCGCCTGCCTGATGGCGCAAGTGACGGAGTCCGAGACTTTCAGTGATCACTCAACATCACCCTACAACATCTACTGCTTTGGATTGGGCTGCAGTGTCCCGAATCTGCAATATCACAGGGTTGAGGGTAGACTGATCAATCTCTCCCTGCCCAGAATTTCTGCAGATGCCTGGATAACTCAATTGCTGCTACGCGTACGTATTACCTTGTACTTTGTTACAGGGAGGTGCTCCCCCCAAAGTCAGCTTCTTGGTGGGCCCTCAAATAGCAAACCCTGTCCGACAGGCACATGAGTGCGCAGCTGCAAAGCCCATTCGCACCTTCTCAAAGCCTTCGAAATTCTTTTCATGGCCTCAGATTTGCGGCAAAGTACAAGGGTGAATCCTGCGAAAAGCTCGTGTGTTGTGTGTTGTTGACAGCTTTCCTTCATATCTAGTCTGTATACTTGGTTTGCTTCGCTTCCAGTATCAGATCTTAGCATCAAAGTCTCTTGTAGGAGTCTGCTTGATGTTTCTCGTTGTCTGTAGCTTTTGCTAACTACCAGTAGCACTATATGACTATGTGCCTGTCTTCTCCTTGTGATGTGAGCTTGCCTTAGAGTTGTTCTTCTGCTTGGTATCACGTCGTTGTTTCAATCCACCATCATAGCAACCCAAAACGGAGCCCCTGATTTTGAGAAACCCTCTCCATCTCCGTTCACCTTTGGGGCCCGGGCCAGTGTGCCCGCTTGACGCATGACTTGCCATGGTGCATCAAAGGATGGTCCAGGATCTAGCGCGGCTGAATGCTATGAGTTTTTGTTGGGTGTCTGCCGCGAGTAGGGCCTACACCGTGCTGTTGCTATCATGTCCCCTCAGCCCGAGATGAAGGCTGCGAGCGCACCTGCCTACTTTGCACTTCGACAGTTCCCTCCACAAGCAGCCCTGGTACGACTCCCCCAGCATGGGCTTTTGGCTTGCAACTCTTCGAGAATCAAGGCCTGACCTCCTTCAAGGTCAGGTTGTATGGTTCTCCGGATAAGATTGGAACTACAAGCCGTTGACCGGTAGCATCCTAAAATGCGCGCCGGTGGCGTGTTGAGCAGCTGAATGCCACCAATGTTCCTGTACCCATGCAAACTCGACTTGCTGACTAGGATATTTCAACGGGCACGACTTCAGGGTAAACAGCCCTGTACATGTCAACAACACTGCTACCTGTATTGCCGACCCTCCGCTCATTGCTGGCAGACCTGCCCGGTGCAAAAAACGACTTACGTGTCATGAATACATTGAATACAAATTCTCAGTCCCAGTTTTCAGCCACGTTATTGATCAGCACAAACAAGTTCATCATGCAAGCAACGGTGACGTGCTGAGGCGGCGTGCAAGTTGGTTGTAGCCAAAGTCTCTGAGGGTACGGGAAAGGAAGCAGGGTTGCAAATCTATTAAACTTTAGGACCAGGAGAACTTCAGAGACGCGCCTCACCGGTCCCAGCCTGTCAAGTCGTCGTCGGAGTCATTCGAGGGCATGGGTCCACGAGCTCCTTGCGTCACTCCCCCTCAGGGCAAGCAATTCAGCACTTCATATTTGGTAGTTTGCTAAAATAGGCGGAATCGCAATCTAGACCCCAATATAATATATTATATTCCTCAGTATGGGGACCTCTAAAAAGGTACCCCTAGTTTTGGGAAATCCCAATATGAACAACTCGAAAGCAAGGTCCAAAACCAGCCTGCTACCGCTGTAGGTGCGTAGCCACGGCTTGCAGGAACCTTTTCGAAGCTGTTGGAAGAAAAAGGCCTCCTGCTGATGTCCCAGGCAAGCCTTTGGAGTGTTCGTTGGAGGCTCCTGGCAACAGATTGGCAGTAATAATAGTCATAATAGTAAGAACAGTAATAGCATTAATTATAGTAATAGTAATACGAAGAATAGTAATAACAGTAATAATAGTAACAATAACATAATAATGTTGGGATTTGGCAGCAGACGTTTCTGCGATCTATGGCAGCATGTGCTGACTTGAACCAAGCCAGCAAGAACCTGACGCGGTGGCTCTGTACCTCGGCAGAGAACAACGGAAGCCTGTTTGCCTCAACCTCATGAGCAGCATCTCTTGCAGGATGGGCACACGCCGATTTGTCATGCAGTCGCATTACATTTTGTACTTGAGCCATTAGCGGTCGATGCGAACTGAGAGATAGACATGAAATCACTGGGTCCATGCAGGAGGGCTCTTCAACAGCGCACAATGTCAGTGTCAGGTTGGAGTAATGCTTGGGTCACCAAAGATGCTGTTGAATCTAGGCGTTGAACAGCGAGCCTCATGCAAGGGCCTGGCTAACGGGTGGTGAAACTGTCGTACCTGGCGCCCGGGTATGGAACCTTGGCTTTCTCTTGAACTTGTCTTAAGCTAGCGAGCAACTCAGAAACCTCCTCAGTGTCGTCCAGGAAGAACTTTGCAGCACTAGGCTTTCGGCCCACTGTGCAAGTGAAAAATCTTCTGGCAACCTGGGGCATGCTGTCCTCACCAAGGCTCGCCAAACCTCCCGACAGACTCCCTCGGAGATCTCCACCGAAGCCGCAAAGGCCACCACCTGCTCCTGAGAGTTTCCCACTGCTCTGCCGCTTTGGAAGCAGCGTGGTCTCAGACTTGGCCTTCAACCGGGAGACGCTTTCATCGTTCTCCGAGCTGTCATCGGTGACGCTGACTTGCGATGGCGTCTCGAACTCATCTGTGGGATCTAGCATTTGGTTCACAACTTCAAACATATCCTCATCACTTCTGTCATCGCCTATGCACAAGATGAAGTCGACCTCACCAAATGTCTGCGACACCTTGGTGAGTGCCTTCGTGACTGCCACTCCCTTGTTGACGCCACTTACCTTCACCTCCACGTAGCCCTTGCCCTCCAAGATTTCGAGGTCGTAGCCTATGAGCAGCTCCTTCAAATGGGAGCTGAGTTCTTTGGCCTGCCAAGAGCCAAAATGGGGATCTGCGTCTCTGTACTGCCAAACCAAAGCGCTACCTTTGTTCTCAATGAAGCTGCCTTGCGTTCGCTTCACGAAGTTGCGCATGATTTCAAAGGCAAAGGACTTCCAGGTGTAGTCTGGCCTCTGCACCATGCAGTGCCACTGTCCACCAGTGTTGAAAGGAAGCTTGTAGAAGAAACCGCGTTCTGCTGCCAAGCCCAAGCGAGGAACGCCTCCAAACCACTGTTCCATCATTTCGCGATTCCGGCCGCTCAGGATGACCACAGTATTATGGCTATCTGAGCACAGGCTTTGCAAGCAGTCCGTGACTTGCTGGTTGGGAGCAGATCCACGGCTTTGCAGGTCTGTCAAATCCCCCATGTGTGCACCGTATTGCCGGTACATGTGCCTCTTGTCAGTGGCAAGCGTCCCCTCATTGTCGAAGAAGAAAACTCGGGTTCTCGCTTGCCGGAAGGCATGTAAGACACCGTCAATGGGCAACTTCTGAAAGTTGGATCCGATGGCAACTTGGCGGATCTTGGCACCGAAGCCAATGCTTTCGATCCTGACATCGTCCTTCTTGCGTGCACGCTTCAGGTCAGTCAGGAAGTCCTCAAACCAAGCCATGGGCGAATTCTGCGAAACGTACTGCAAGTTGCACTGGAACCGATCCTTCCTCTCCTCATCTGTCATGGTGAGGGCTCGCTCCATGATGCTGCAAAGAGCAGAATTGTTCCATGGATTCGCCCGTAAGCATCCCAAGAGCACTCGGCTGCAGCCAGAGAATTCGCTAACAATGCAAGCCTTGTTGTCCGCCATGTCATGGTGCGCAGCCACAAATTCAAACGGCATGAGATTGAGACCATTCTTGGCGCTGGTGTCCAGCAACACATCGGCGGCCCGAAACAGGGCTAGCCTATCTGTTCGCTCGATCTTCTCAAAGCGCAAGAAGATGCTGCAAGAATCTGGCGAACCATCATCCCTCGTGTTAACTTCCAACCCCCCATCAGCTGTGACCTTGAGAATCGCATCAGCCTCTGCGCGAAGCTGGGTTGCTGTGCTTGCATCTTTGACACCTAAGGAGTCAAAGCAGTACTGGACCAAGATAATCTTCCCTTGGTACTCGGGCTTCTCCTTTAAGAACTGCCGGAAAGCCTGAAACTTCGGGATCAACGCGGCCAGGCCGTCAGCCCTGTCCATGCATGCAAAGATCGTCTTGCCTTCGAAGAGCCGCTTAATCTTCAGGGTCTCTTTCTGAACCTCTTCGCTGTTCACCACTTTGATGCTGGCCTGGTATGGGTAGGCAAAGTGGGCGACCTTGATCATGACAGTCCTCCCGTTGTACTCCAGGCCTGTGAAGCCTCCAGTGCGGAAAGTGGGATCCAAGCCATAGACTCGCTTGCAGCTCACTAAGAAGTTGCGAGCATAGGAGAAAAACTGAAATCCAAGTTGATCAGCACTGAGCATTCCTGCAAGAATCTCCTCTCGAACTGGAAGTGTCTTGAAGCTATCTGAAGATGGGAAGGGCGCATGGAGGTAGAAGCCAATGTTTGCCTTGTGAATCTTCCTGGCAATGAAGGTCGGGGTCATCAGCATGTGGTAGTCCTGAATGAAGATCAGGTCATTTTCATGCGTGTGAGGAACCACCGCCAGGGCATAGATGTTGTTGATGTGCTGATAAGCTGCCCACCCTTGCTCACTGAAGGGCTCAGACTTAGCACTCTGGAAGAACTGCATGCTGTCATGAAGCACTGGCCAAAGGAATGTGCGACAGAAGTTCAGGAAGCCTTCAAACTCGGCGCGAGGAGGGAAAACAGGAACGAAGTCATGGGCTGCAAGCAACTTCTCAATTTCCCTCCTCTCCCTATCATTCTCTGGGTGCACACCCGGCCAACCGATGTTGACAACTTTCAGCTTCTTCTTCTCCTTGACTTCCTGCAGAAGCGGCAAGAAAGCGAAGTTGCGACCATCATTGGGTGCCTTCTCACTTAGCTTCCAAGTTCCATCGCTGTCCTTGAAAACCTTGACAGGAAGCTGGAAAGCTAGCATGAAGATCGTATCTCTGGCACCAATCTCAATCTGGCCCTCCAAAACTTCTTTGAGGAACGACCGCTTCTGATCCGTGTCCATGTTCTTGACCAACTGCGACTTGGTCTGTATGTGGTAGGGCTCATCAAACTCATCGTCGCTGTCTTCCTCATTAAAGCCAACCTTTTGCCGGAAGACGCCATCATCGTCTTCCATTGTCATTTCTGTTCCATTTGCTATCAATGACCGTGTTGCCTCAGATCCCTCCCAGCTCCTCGGCTCATCGTCTGCACCACAGAGGATGTATCTGTACTGCACACGCGCATGAAGCTCTACAAAGATAGGATTGGGGGAGATCCAAGCGGGGTATATGTCGTCGTTGGTTTCCAGCTGTATGCCTTGCTTGGCCTGCCAGTTACCGAGACTCGCATGGTCTCCGACAACGCGCACATACTCACCAGGAGACGTGGAGCACGCTACATGAAAATAAATCTTGGTGTGTGGAACACGCTTGGCATCCTTGTGGGAGTGGCCATGCGCCAACGAAGGGGGCTTCAAAGTTGTATCAATCTGAAGACGACCTCCCTTCTGCCGTAGGGACTGGGAGGGGTCCATCGGCCCACACAGCCACAGGGCCCTGCGGGCCCACTGGCTGGGCCGGAGGCGAGCTTCGTCTGCCGAAAATCTCCAGTAAACCTACTCAAGAGTCAAGAGTATCCTGTCATGAGCCAAAAGGACATCACAGTGGCTCAGCTTAACAGACTTGCCAGGACTGCGATTTACAAACAATTTCATTACTGCTGCCCTACTAGCAGGTGCATCTGGTCGGCTTTCTGTTGTTCTACCCTGACGCACTTGCAAGGTCCCAGCTTGGACCACCGACTGCACCGCTCCGCAATTGAGCAGAGTGACGTCGACCTGAAGCATGCAAAAGAGCAGCCTGTTGATGCAAAGTGGCTCAGATGTTTCGATGGTGCGAACCAAAAGCTCAAAGGCTGAAGTTTCATTGCACCTTTTCTGCGCCAGAGCATGTCCAGCCTGAAGGCTTCTTTACCTTCAGGGTGGAATTTGTAATGTTGCCTATGATCCATATCTTTCATTTGCAGAATAGTTCGAGGAAGTTAGCACAATCAGTGCAACATGCTGCCTCTCACTACCAGACCATCCTACGAACAGAGCCTAGGCCTACAAGTCTTCAGCTCAGGGCAGCGAGCAATCGAATATCTTCAAAACACCTTGCACATAAGTGCGACACACGGGGCACTTGGTTAAGTTGCGAGAGCAGATCTGGCACAGGCAGCGGTGTCCACACGGCACGATGGCGAAGTCGGAGGCTCGTTCCATGCAAATGACACAGCCCTCAGCCCGCGCTGAACTTCCTTTGGACTCGAGCGGCGAGGTCTCTGCAGTCAGGTCATGGGCGTTGATCTGCAGGGGGTGGGCTTCCTTTGGGGAATCAACGCTGAGATCATCAATGAAGTCTAGGTCCGGCATTGCAAGCTCAGAATCTGAATCGTTCAGGCCTATCTGTCCTTCCTCCAACTGAGGACTGCCTGTAGCCTCTTCAACTCGCTCTGGGTTCAAGGCCCCATGCCGGCCATGCCATGCATTTCCTCCGGCATCAGACTCGAAATCGAGCCAGCTCCTACAAACACTCTCTTCACAAAAAGCAACCAACAAAGAGACAGCATTTACCCTATCTGGCATACGTAAAGGAAGATCAGAAACATGACTGAACGCTGCACTCAGCGTCTCATGCCGCCAACTTGGAGTTGTGCCACTCGTGTCGAAACGGTTCCAGGACCTGTGCCAGTCCTGAGTTCCCCGTGTTCCCTGCTCGCTTCGGGCAGGTGAGCTAGAGATACCTCGCTCAGAAGCTCGACTTCGACCGCTCCGACCGCGGCTTCGGCTGCGGGACATCCTCGATGTCCGGGACCTCTGCGTTGCGCGTGGATCGCGCCATCTGTTATGATCGTCATCCCACCTGGACCATGTGGGCACCGGTGTGGGCCATGTGTCTGTGCCGGGCCAAGCGGACGGGAGCGGTGAGAGGGCATGCGGCTGTGCAGGCAGCCAACTTCTCCAATCCCCCTGCAGGGCAGGCCAGAATGCTGGTAACAGCAGAGGTGGAACACATGGTGGTGGTAGTCCATTGACTGGTGGGCTTGGTGGGCTTGGTGGGTTGGGGAGTGGTAGATCGTAGCTTGGTTGGCTGGAGGGTGGGCTTGGGACCGGAGGGGAGCCAGGCGCAGAGCTGAGTGGTGGGGAATGCGGTGGGGAATGTAGTGGGGAGCCTGGTGGGGAACCAGGCGGGGAGAACCATTCTGGAGTTTGAGGAATGGCATCTCGAACATTTCTGTGCGGCAAAGTGGGCGTTTCTGGGACCGGGAATACTGGGTCCCCCGTCGTCAAGGGACGTGAGGGCTCAGATGGCTCCGCTCCCGGCGGCCATTCGGGCGTTAGCGGTGCCATCAAGCCCCGCCAATCTGGAGTAAGCGGAAGCGGTATCCCCGAATGCACAACCGATGATTGCCGCGGGTCCGGTGTTCCTGGCAAAGGATCTGATAAAATCGAGTCAGGTGTATCAGCTCGAATGCGTCCCTCGGGTGTCTCTGCAGCAGACCATACAGGCGAAGACACCTCTTCAGGAGTACCTGGGCTGCTACATCTCAGCGGGCATGAAACTAGCTTGACTAGCTTGCTGAAGAAACGAAAAACGAGTCGAGGCTAGGCTCTCACAGGCTGACTGCGCTGATCTCGATCCAGCAAAAGGTTGGCCGCCGCTTGTTGTGAGCCACCAGCTTCAGTCAGTGCCCAGTTTGCATCTTCTGCGTTGAAGCCTGCCTCCACAAGGGAGGCCACCGCGCTGTCAAGCGACATCACACTCTGCCACTGATTTTGTCACAAGGTGTCATAAGACTTAGGAAAGCTGGCTATATGCATCTACAGTGGATGAAAAAATCGGAAGCTTTGCCATGACAAACATTGAACAAGCTTGCTTCGCATACTTCTTCTTCCGATCCACGAGACAAGCACATGATAAGTCGCAAAACATCTGCTGCCAAGGCATTCACTCTTTAATTTTAATGTGTCCACAGCAAAGCACTCTTGGCACCGCTGCTAACATTTTCTGTGGAACAGCTCTGTTTACTGAAGGGCTATTGCTGAAGAATAGCAATTTGGCTCCTGACTCGGCGCAGAGATGCTTGGCGCAGTGCCTTCGTGGGAGAAGCAACGTATATGTCTCTTGCAATTTTCTTTTTTGAAGATGTGGGGCAGCTTTCCATCGCTTGAAGCACTGTGTTTGTCGCCAAGGAGCTAAGCACAGGCGAAAGGAAGGGAGAATGTTCCTCGGCATGTATCAGATAGTCTCAAAAATCTTGCTAGGTGCGGGCTGGGAACTGAAGTTGATGATTGACACAAAGCCCTGGGCAGCTAGCAACTAAGAGCCCTACACGACCTGGAGCTGGGAAATCCCAAATGCGGAGCTTTCGGTCCTGAACGGTACACAACGTATTGAGGAATTCTGGTACTTAGGAACATGGCCTTGGATGATGTCAGGAGTCGACGATGGCTGTCGATCCAACAAATCTGCGTGATCTCATCCTGACATTTCCGCTGATCTGTCACATTGCGCCTTCTGTGAATAAATGCACTGAAGAACATGGCCTCGTGTGCTTGCCAGGCGTAAGATGGCGCGCAACTATCCACGTCAAATGCCTGCAGCTTCAGATCTCAAACTCTGCTAGATTTCAAATGATGTTGCGGACTGTAGCGGACGCAATATGGCGTCAATCGACTCATGTGAAATTCTCAACATCCCGTGCGCCAAACCCCTTCCCAGCCCCCACCCTCTGCTGCGACCCCTCGGCAACCGAATTTATGCCACATCGTTCTGCATGCTCACTTTTCAAGCCCTCTCTAGACGTGCATGATCATGCAAAAAGAAACCCGGTCGATCGTCGCATGCGTTGCCAAAAAAAGGCCTCTAGACACACGCGAGAGCGAGTTTAAATGTACGCATGCCTGGTACAAAAGCAAGCACGTGCTGCCTTAAAGTCAAAAATGTGTGCTTCGGGATGCGCGGAGCAGCTGCTGGCTAACAATAGTGATTTTTGTTGTTCATGCGGCCTGCCAAGGCGCTCAAACAAATGGCACGAACACTTCTTCCAAACAGCAATATCCTTACAAACGAAAGCTTCCGGCAAAATGCACTGCGAATCCTCATGGTGAAACTTGAGCAGATCTTTGTGCTATGCCTCCTTGATGGTTCATTACTCTGTGCGCCGGCACAAGCTTGACAATACATGATGTGTTCCTGCACGTTTTTTGGACACGTTTGGAAAAGGGACATGGCAATGTCAGTTTTTCATCCCGCCCTGCCCCCCCCCCCCCACGGTCCACACGACAACATCTAACAACTCTGTAAACACGTTTTTCCGCAGAAACGACGGACAAGGGTTCTTCCTCCATCGACGAAGACCTTGCATGTTTGCTTCCGTGTACAAAACATAGGGGCAAACAACGCAACGAGGGGGTCCCGGCAGGGTCCTTGCATCGAGCCCTTTCTGCAAGGGCACAGAGCACCAAACAGTCGGTTTTTCAATAGTAGTTTAATCAATATTTCCAACCAAAACCCAGGGGCACACGGTGATTTACATCTGACCAAATGATCGCCTGAGGAGTTTAAGTTATTCCGCCAAACCGCAGGTACGCAGCGAAACACAGCCACCCAAATGACAGCCTGACAATTCTCATTCGCTGGCTGTTTACAACCAAATCCCAATGGCACACAACGAGATGCATGAACACAAATGATAGCCTGCCCTGGTTTTGAGTGGGGCACTCTAGGAAAACCCATGCAAACACCAGGTCAAAGCTTGGGTTTTGAGCGGGACACCCTAGAAAACCAATACCTTAAAACCAGCTTTTTAACATTTAAATGACCTGTAAATATCTTTAAGTCAAAACCATTTAAAGCCTTTTCAAACCCTTACCAGTCCTTAAAATCCTTTCAAAACTTTTTTTACACCTTTTCAAAACCCCGTTAAATTCTTTGAACCCCGGCTTGGGGATTCGGAGGATTTCGGCTGGAGGCGAGCGATGCCCTGAGCGATGCCTGAGCAAGGCCCCGTGCGATGCCTCTAACTCGCGTCGGTCACTCTGATCCCTTTCCTGTCTGTAATCTATATTACCGGATGTCGAGGCCTCTTGGGATTTGGGTTGGGGCCATAAACTTTCAGGTTTGGTTGCAACTGAACGATGCAATACCTCGGGGTGGCGGCGGCATGGTCTGCGTGGTTGCGTGAAATCCCTTCGGGTTTAGGGCTGCGGGAGGGCCTACACATAGTTTATTTAAAAAGACATAGGCGGGTTGCATAGGTATTACCGAATTTACACGGATCCCCAGGGGCGCACCGCAATGCAGTGATCTTCTTTCAGGAAGGTGATAAAACAGCTTAAAATCAGCAAATGCAAAACTCCAAGGGCACACACAACCACGCAACAACCCTCAGTAGAGGCAACTCTAAAAAAATTAAAACACAACGACTTCTGAAGTCGGGGGAGTACCACGCCCAAAACCGCACCTTCATCTCAATGAGTTGTCTCTGAACAACAACAGCAGCACGACGTTTTTCCAAAATCTGCATGCAGGTCTCACCCATGTAAGAGCGATTGTTGTTGACGCATGGCCACCTGCTGCAAGGTTCTGCAAGGATGACGCACAAATCTGACGTGTACGGACACGCACGCCTCAAGATGGGTGCAACATCCCTTTGGGACTTGGGGTTTGGTTCCTGTGCGGGGGTGGTTGGGATTTAGGCTTTGGAAGGTAACCTGAGGGTCGTAGGAGGCTGTTCTGGGTGTGAAGCTTCAAGGCATTATGGGGTTCAGGAGAGGAGAGGTCTCCAGATTTCACAAACCTTCATCTCAAATGTCAAGTCTCTAGCCCGGCAACCTGTAGCTTTGATACAGGGTGCGGGGGGTAACGGGACCCAGTTTGGCGGTAACAGCCAGTGTTACGGAATAGTAACGGAAACCAGCCGGGACCGCAACAGAAACCGCAGCCAAAACGTATCCGAAACCAGGCTGCCAAGCAGCCGAAACCGAAACCGGAACCGAAATCCCTGAGCCCAAGTCTCGCAAAGTGGGGGACCGAAAGTTGGTCCCTCTCCAGGACAACTTTTTGCAACTTGCTCGTACCTCGTTCTACTCATTTTCTGCTTGAATTACCACAAATGCTATTTCTACACTCCTGTTGCAATTTGCTTGTACCTCATTCTAGTCACTTTTCTGCTCGTACTGGCACTACTACTACTTCTACGCTCCTTCTTAAATCCTGAACCTAAACCTTCAATCTTAAACCCTCAACTCCAAGCCAGAGCTTTGGATCTTCACCCTCCAAGGGTCAAGGTTTACGGTTTAGGGTGCTGGATCAAGGGGATTCGTTCATTATAGGGATAAAAACCATTGTTATACGCTTTTTGTGGGCTATAAGTACCCTTACTACTACTCCCACGGCTCCAAAATATGATGGTAACTAATACCTAAACATGAAAGACCCTAAACTCTAAACTCCAAGCCGGAGCCTTTAGATCTTCACCCTCCAAGGGTTAGGGATGGTCAGGGTTTGGGATCTAAAAGTCAGGGTTTATGGCTTTAGGTTCTGGATCATGGAACTTTTTCATTGTAGAAATAACAACTAGCAGGGGTTACTATATGCTTTTTAGAGGCTATACACACACTTACTAAGTCCGCTGGGAAGTCGGAAACCCTTGAGTAACGAGAGGGTGCAGAGGACGAAGGGTTGGCCAAGGCAGTACGAATGCACTGGGGCACATCATGATAGTCTGAAAACATCCCGCACGGCAGGGCCTCCGTCTGGCGTATGCCACATGTAGGATTAGTCTGACTTGTGATCAGACTAAATCTCATCTGTTAAGTGCTTTGGGTATAAAAATGGGGTAGAAACCAAAGAAAACCTAACAAGTATCACCAAGAAAAGGCCGACACCTCGGTAGGTCACGCTAGAAACCAGAGAATGAAGTGTTGCGCGAATTTCAAGTCGAAACCCCAGTAGAAGCAGTCACTTGAAAGCTTTTACGTTTCGGATTTCTGAAACAACATTCCGCAAAAACTACACAATATTCCAAAGGCAACTCAACTTGAGGCTAAACCTTTGATTTCGGCTTGTCGGGATGCAGGCAAGAGCCTTCATCAACTTACGGATGGGTCATTGCGAAGAACTCCCATTAAGTTTGACGGTGAAGGTTTTGTAGGGCTGTGTTGGGTTTGAGAGGTCCCAATGCAAAGCCTAACCACAAACCTGCTTGAACATTGATGACAAACCCCTTCAGAAACGGAGTACCATGCACATACCCTTTCTGTCGCGAGCCAAAGCAGGAGCACAATGCCAAAATTGGTTGAACAGAAATCCGTGACAAGAACATCAACGAACGTACCCAGCCGAACATCTGAAAAAACAGAAGTCCACGTGGGCTGGACGCCCAGAGCCAGCCACCGTTGGGCTGTTCTCTTTATGTCTGATGCTTGGCGCTTTGACTCTGCCGTCGTTGGGAACGGCGGGTGAGTTAGAAAGTTCAGCAAGCAGCTGAACAAAAATGTTGGCAAAACAAAATTTTGAAAAACGATGAAAAAGTGTCACATCTTTGCCGCTGATATACATGGACATTTAAGTGGTTGGAAACAGCACGCAACATGCACCTTCCGGAAAAACATGTGCCCAACGGCTTGGGAGATTTGAATGCCATTTTTTTTGCCCGCCCCNNCCCCCCCCCCCCCCCCCAACAGAATCCATCTCTGAAAATCGGATGTCAACAAGAACTAGTACAACTCTTCTCGTCGTCCCAAGCCAAGGCCAAGCTACGACAATGGCCCCAGTTCCACAGCTTGCCAAGATCTCCTGCAGCACGTTGATATTTGAGGTTGCAATTGCAGTTTCATGCTCTCCCCTAGGTTATAGAACAGCAAAGAACAGAGAGCAGCAATGTCCCGCGAGGAGGGTGCCCAGGCAACTCCCGTGAGCCTGCGGCAACGCCATGCAGCGCTGGGAAAGCCCCGCATGAGCCCGCCAACAAAGCTGAGGTTGTGGCGCATTGGCTGTGGGAATGGTGCCGATTTTGCGGCCCCAGCTGCCTGCCAAGCCCCCCAACAATCTGCGGGATATCGCGGGATCTGCGGCTCAACGGACTTCCCGTTTGCCGCGCTTGGGCATTCACCAGTCTGAGCTGACTTCACACTCCATACGCCCAGCAGGTCTTTGCTGGCAGAAAACAGCCTCAGTCAACCGCGGGTGTAAGAGAGACTGCACCGACAAATGAATTGCATACTGCAAATGCAGCACAACACATGTAGTTGAGGCATGCCCCCTTTTTTTCAAGGCCACCTGCTTGCCGTCATCCTACAGTCAAAAAGCGCTAAGCGCCCCGGACATGTATGCACTTGTATGCACTTGTATGCAACTCTAGGTACTTTCCTAACCTGGCAAACGGGCTCGCTTCGACACCCGGGTATGCCTCGAGCTCAAAGTCCTACGCATCTGGTGAATGTCTCAGAACGTTTAAACGGCATCCGACGACAGGAGCTGGGAGACTGGGATGCCTCCGAGCAATCCAGTGGCTGCGCACACGGCATCCCAGGCAACAGCACACCAGCAATGCCACCCTGCCCTAGCTGCCTTGCTGGATGCATCGCATGTAATGGTAGATAAAGTCCTTCAGTTGATCAGGCAGCAACAATGCAAAGGACGCGTCGTACCACAGCCCCTCTTCCCTTTCACAAAACCCGGTCCCCCATGATCAACAGCTGCACCAGCTGCGCGCAGACGACCCAGTTTCCGACGAAGGCCTCTTGTGCAACTTCGCAGGCTGCCCACATAAGCTATTTGCTTCCCCATGCCTGCCTTGATATGATGGTTGGGGTCGGAGAGCTCACTGAAGGAAGATGCCCAGAAGATGAAGGACATGAGTTTAGCCAGCGCCTGCAAGCTGTAATTTTCAGGACAGATAAGCAGAAAGACAGCAGTGACCCTTGAACGTTGGCAATGAGGGACAAGGAGGGAGAACGGGAGATCGGGCAGCCCAAAATAGGTGGCCACCTGTCGCATGTCCTTTGCACGGGCTTAGCTGCTGGTCCTCTTGAAAAGCTGACAGGGAGCATGCATTGGCCGTCTGTTCGCACAAACATCGCATGCGAGAATGCAGCCGCATTGTCATGAGCCGCAAGCTGCGCCCAAAGCGCGTTTGCTGCAACACACTTTTCTTTCCATCCCGCAAGAACATCCCCTCGACCCTCGAATGCATGTACGTGGTGAGAAGGAGCAGCCCCTGATATGTTTGAAGTCTGCCAGGTCTGTTGACAAAGCAGCATGAAGGGAAGCAGCAAGGAACAAAGGGAAGGCGCCTGTGCCGCCAAAAAGTGGGATGTGTGCCTGCACATGAGCAATACAGCAGCGATCCCTGGTCAGTGTCTCGGACAATCTCACACCAGCTGCATCCTCACTTGAACCAAGATTCTCTTGTGCCCGGCCCTCCTTCATGAACATGAAAAGTTGGCAGAGCACTGCCACCGATTCCTGAGCTGCAAGTCACGGCGTTTTCCCTTAGAAGCCTTCAGCGCCAAGGCCAGATTCCCTCAACTTCTGTGAAGTCTGAAGAACTGGATGGCCGCAATGCGCAATGGGTAGTGTTGTTGACTCCCACAGAGTCGCCATGTACTGGCAGGCAAGCCGCCAAGTAGAGCGCGAAGGCCCAGCCAATGTCCGACGGCAGGAAACCGTTCCTCAGCTCGACGAGAAAGATCACTCACACATCTACAACGGGTGTAATTTGCAGATTAGCGCCTTCCTGACGTTGCCGAGGTGCAAGTTCGGATGGAATATCAACGATAAGCCTAGAGCGCCAACGCCCAAGTACAAATGCTGGAAGGTGTCTGTCGCCTTGGTACACGAGACGTGTTCAGCAAACGAAGCAAGCAAACCGACCTCTGGCTTTAGAATACTAGTTTTTTTTGTCTTGCTTCGGGGTTCAGGTGCAATTTGGGTCTTGTCTCTCGTCGCCATAATTCGCATGCATTCCTGGCCGAGCTTCCCGGCCGAACTGCAGAGCGGCGGATACGCACTGGAAGCGCTTAGGCTGCTTATATGGTTCTCTCACTACGCATAGGAAAACCGAAAATCAGCCCGGTGAGTGAAGCTCAAGCTTCTGGGAAAATTTTGAGGTCTTTCAAACTACCCTGCCAGGCTTCAAGTCTGGCTACTGTGCTGGACAGCCTGTCTCCGTGAGCAGCAAAGAGAGCATGTGATGCTTCTCATGCACATGGCGGGCTGTCTAAGGGATAATGCGCTGCAGGACTCACCAGCCAGTACCACTGACGCTTCCTTCCATACGTGAACATCATTTGGCATCAGCCCCTCTAAGATTCTAAGAGGGCTCCTCACAAGCGGCAGTGGAAACCGAATGGTGCTCAGCAGGAGGGCAACTGGTGAGACTTCTCCGAGCTCCTGCGCTCAACGCAAGTCATCATGACCAAGGCCTGCAAAGCACACTCCAATTCCCTTCATGCGTTTGCACCTCACTGGGTTCCTCTTACTCGTTTCCTCCCTTGCTCGATGTCCTTCACAAGTCTCTAACAACGGGAGCCTCACTGCATCCAAGGGTGGGCTGCCACAGTGGCCAGGTCAGCACGCGCCGCGGGGTTCACAACAAGCCTGGACCAAAAGGGGGGCAGCATGTCTTTCTGCTTACAGCAGGCGCTCTCTACAGTGCAATTGAGGGGCATCTTATTCAGCAAGTCCATCACTTGTGGCGAGGCCCCTGGAGGCGGCTGGAAAGTGCCAGCGAGCACATCCTGCTCCTCTGGTGCAAAGGGCGGCTTGCCGGCGAGCATGTGGTAGAGGACACAGCCCAGGGACCACACGTCTACTTTCGCATCGTAGGGCTTTGACCGCATCTTGGCGTACTGGATCTGGGCAGGTAACTCCACCTGCTCAACCTTTGGCAGTATCTTCCCCTGTCCCTTGTTGTCGCCAGTAACTTTGAAAGAACCATCGAAAGCACCCCGGGAGGAGTTGTCTAGCAACCGATCGCCCATCAGGTCAAGGATGTCCTGCAATGGGCCGGCAGATCAGGCATTGGCATGAATAGTAACACTTGTAATGTTATGATTAGTAATACAGTACTATTACTACCATTATTACTGTTGTTACCATGATTATTGTTGTCACTATTATTGCTATGATGGTTACTAGTACTTCTATCACCGTTACCACTATTTAATTTTACGACTTGCTGGCAGGAATGCCTCGCTTTCACGGAACCCGTCCTCAAAGTCCATGTTGCTCACATCCCGACCATTCACCTTTGCTGGCTCACCCTTCACACAACGTGCTCTTAGTAGTTTCCATTTTTCCATTATCTCTATATGACCCCATATTTCTACATTACCCCTATATTACCCTATGCCAGAGAGCCAGCATGCCAAGGGTTATCCTGTCCAGCTGTTACAATTACGATCTAAGTTCACGCCCTTCAACCAGATTGCCGACTTCACCACCCACTCGTTCTGAACTCCAGCCACAAAAGCTTGACCAAGAGGATCACCTGCACAGAAAACACCGGGGCTCTAGAGCTGACATCATGTAAGTAGCCTGCCTGGGTAGCGAGATTGCTCAATAACTTCAGTTATGCGAGCGCCCTTGTTGTTTGGACCTGGATAGTACAGTTGGGTCATGATTTGAGGGTTGCTGCTACAACGAGGCCAAATGACACCAGCAACGCAGCTAAGGTCGTGGCCCGGCTTGTACTTCCGTATCCCGAACCTTGGTTGCTCGTTAATCCCCACTGCAGTACATCGTTTGGCTTCCTCACTATGAGAAAAGAAATCTCAAAAGTGCTCACATGGGAAAGTTGTAAAGTTCTACCAAGCAACGGACGCTTTTTGAACTCTATCGCAACAGTGGATTCCACCTGCGATGGGTCCGAGGCATCAAAGTCGTCTCCTCGCGCAATGATCACCTCCGGCGCCATGAACTGAAGTGTGCCTATAAATTTGTCCGCCACCAGTGGCCCGCTCTTCGCCCAATGCCCTGCACCGAAGTCGATCAGCTTCACCTGCCAACCACCAAACCAAGGCTGAACATTTGGCCATGAAAGTCGTATGTTGATTGAGTCTTGTATAGCAAGAAGTTTGGTAGCTTCAAACCTTGAGAGCGCGCTTACATGGCTACAGCCTACCGCCACGTTAAAACGATTAAATCTGTGCAGGCTTTTCTGAGCTCAGTCGCCACAGGCTGGTTCATGTCGTGGGTGCTATCCGTGCAGAGGAGGATGTTGTCGGACTTGAGGTCGCGGTGAAGGACGTTTCGTGAATGCAGGTGCTGGATGGCACCCACAACCTGCTTGAAAATGTACTTGGCCTTCTGTTCCGGCATGGGTCCCGTCTTCTCCAGCAGGTCACCTAGCTCACCGCCCTTCGCCAATTCCATCACAATCATCTTCCCCTCTGCGCCCTCAATTGGGAAGGTGTCAATAAGCTGCACGATGTTTGGGTGCTGGCCAATGTGGCTATGGATCTCGATCTCTCTGTCTAGGATCTCTGTGTTTGCTGTAAAAACTTGCTTGACGGCTAGCTCCCTCCCCTGCATGTCCATGCACTTGTAGACCTTGCCGTAGCCGCCAGCGCCCAGCAAATCATTCTTGTCCTCAGTCTCAGAGTCATCTGGACATCAGTTCACAACATGGCCTGTGACAATTCCATTCGTCGTTCACGTGAGATTCTGCAACTGTGCTCTACACACGGCAGGTCAAAATCTCATGATGGTGCTTTGTCTAGCTCAGGCATCCAACCGGTAGCCGTTCCCAAACGTCATGGTCATGACCTGATGGCTAAAAGGCAGGTGATGAAAAGGCCCAAACAGAACCCAGAAATGATGATGCACGCTCTTTTGGCACAGAGTATGGGCGCGGCATTGCAGCGCGGCACCAGACTTCCGCTCTGCCATGTGTGAAGGCACGCCAAGGACCCGCCTGGGTACTTTCGAGATTGATACCCAAACATCCCCTGGCACATTCCAATTACTATTACTATTGCTATTACCTCTAGTACGAGCGGTCCTCCTACCAACTATGTTCAATGGCAATGGTGTTTGCATGTGTGCTCTTCGAATTGACGTCACTATGCCCCCCCAATCCCCCCACTACCTCAGCCCACCCCCCTCCCGTCATCCCCACGCATCACGAAAGTACAAAGCCTTTTAGCATTCTACAAGAACCCGCATCTCCTCAGTTTTGACCTGGTTTCAACATGCGCAATTTGNNNNACATAGTTGGTAGGGGGTGGGGGCGCCTCCTACTACTACTACTACTACTACTACTACTACTATTGCTATCCCTGGGCACCTCTTTTGTGCGGCAGAGATGCAGAGCACGGCGAGGCCGGCGCCAGGATAACGCCTTCCCGGTCTGGCGGATGCCGAGCGGGGCATCTCCGAGGAACCTGCATGCCGGCCCAAATCCTAAATTGTTCAGGAAGACAGCCTGGGAGGAAGCTGCTGCATTAGGCTCACTAAGTGCTACTGCTGTGTCCCAACTCAATCACATGAATGCACCCTGCCGTGTTACAAGCACTAGCGAGTGACCGGGTACTTGCAGACATCTCCAGATCGGAGCACGCTTATTCGCGCGGCCTTCAAGTGAAACCTCGTTTTCTAGACTACACTACAGCACAATCCCGAAAGCTAATTTGGTATCAACCTTGCGCTCAGCTGTTCTATCCAAAGAGTGCCACAAGTCCGGGCCTTTTGACTGAGGCTGCTCCTCGCGGCTGCAAAGCCCAGAGCCGAATGACGGCTGCGGATATACATCTCAAGTACACTGCGACGTTTCGGTGGAAGTTTTCTCTGTTTGGAACTGGGCCCTGCGAAGAGATGCTCAACCTAGCTTAGAAAGCATGTGGCCCACAAGTTCCCAGCTTCTGCAACCAAGTTGCGGGGTCGTATGTGGCCGCATATTTTATGCGGCAAAAGAAGACAATCCTGAGCTGATCTGCCTTTCTGGATAAACAATAGATGGGCATGCCGTATCAATGGCATGTCCTCTGCAGCCTCTGTATTTGAGACTGAGTATTGTAAGCCTCCTGCGTACCAGCCAAGCAGAAGCCCAGCGCCTGCAATGCAAAGAATACTCGCCCGGTACCCGGCTCATGGGCCGCCATGTCGAGTCCATGTCACAAGGACGCCTCGCACGTCTGGTAGAACCAATCACCTGACCTGGACTTGACAAGCAGGAAGAGTGATGAGTGATCAGAGTCCCTGAGACTCTAGGGGAAAATGGCCAATACCAGCTAAGCAGCTTGTCGAAGGGCAGGTAGCCCTCGAAAGGAATGATGGCACAGAGTCGAAAGAAGAAGATCACAAGGTAGCACCTGGATTAATCTGTGCAACCTGCAACGACTCAAGCGTCGCTCCCGGTAGATCCAGGTGCTGACTCGCTCTCAGGAAGGACAGCAACTCAGCCAGACACTCCATCATCTTCAGAGACACTCCCTTGCAGGAGCGTCCAATCTCCATCTTAAGCGCTACCATGAGGAAGCTGAACCTGGGCTCGATGTCTCTGCTGTTTGCATCTGCAAGCTCTCCCATTCGCGTCTCCATTGTGCTGCACAACAAAGGCAAGCAGCATGCTCAGAAGAGACGACAGCGTCCTGGGATCGCAGCTTGGCGACAAGACCCGCCGAGAAAACAAAAGCCGACGCTTCGCGGTGACATAATGAGGGGTACCCTTAAAGGGGGTAATAAGGGTTATGTTATATCGGGTTTTATGGGCCTTATAGGGTTTAGGATTTTCTAAAAATAGGGGTATAGGGTCCGTAGAATAAGGATTGAAATTCATTGGGGTATAAAAAGAAACTGCCACACATGCATGTGCTTATGTGCAACCCAGACTCAGCAGAAAGGAGAAGTCACCGCTGGATACCAGCATGAACACCACAAAGGCAATCACTGCAAAGCCAGCCCAGATCCTAAATGAAAGCCAGCCAGAAGACTTTGCAACAAATTCATGGAGAAAGCTAGCCCATGTGGTCATGTTGCCTTAGATACATGCAAGCCTCACCTTCCCGACTGGCCCCCCCCCGCTTCTCTGCCAGGAGGCTTGAAGGCTTCTGTTTGCGAATACCTGGCGCGAAGCTGGCGCGAAGAATTCAGGACAAGCTCACAACTCTAATATCATTGTTTGAATCAGCCGCCTCCCTGAACAGTCTCCTTACCTATCGGCTCGACTTGTGTTAGTCATCCTTCCGGATGATTTTAAACATTCAAGGGAGAGGATTCTTAGACTGGCTAGGGCGCTTCATCACAAAGAACTTCAGCTTCTCCTCAGCTCTGCATCCACAAGTGAAGCCAAGAATGGAAGATGCAAAGCCATACTTTGTCCAAAGTTTGAGAAACTTTCTGGCTTGCAATGTCCAAAAGTCGGGATCTTTGAACAAGTCCATGTTGAAGCTTGGGCCATGATTCTTGTCAGAGTCCATGCTTCCTTGCATATGACAACATCCAAGCCTGCGGTGGTTTGGCTTATCGTTGATGGCATGTCCGGTCCTTGGCCTTCGATGCCAAGGCTGTTTCCTAGACAAGGCTTACAGGGCCGCCACTGAGCTACGGCCACAAAGCCTCGAGCCGTCAACTGCTGCAGACAGCGATGGTTTAACAAAATGCTTCTGAAACATACATCTCCACAAAAAGGGCATGCAAGGTGAAGATGGTTCANNCCCCCCCCCCCCCCCCAAAAGCCAACGCATGAAACAAGCACAGCGCAATGAATGCATCCAGGCCCACCGCGTCGCTGAGGACGACTCGTAGTCCAGGCCGTTGACCCTGAAACCAATCAAGGCTTGAGAGGGATTCCTGCACAAAGTATAACATGAGAGCATTAAGTCATATAAAAACATCTGAATCATGCCATGGACAGCATAGATCCGGAGATGTGAACATCGCTTCAAGTTCTGGCGCTCAAGGTGTGCCTTGAACCAGTTGAGCCATCAGGAATGCTGCAAAGCAGCGTCAGAGGAAGGACGGACGTATCCCAAACCTTGCAAGCTTGAGGCGGGCAGAATCTGGAGGATTAGCAGGATGTCTGCAAACCCTGCCAAGGGAGTCACCGCAATCTGACCACCCTGCATGCCTGTGAAGAGCCTCTGCTGCGCCTCCAAGAATCTCAAAGGTTGAAGATCCTCTCCAGCCATGGGATCGACGCCTCTTCGAAGTGCATTGAAGTTGTTGCGGTCGGAGAGTGTGTCTCACACTGCATCATCTGCCTTTTGCCGGCAAGTAAACGAGTCAAGGCCCGGCAGATTTGCTGTTCAGCTGCAGGCCTAACCAAATCGTAAACCTCGGAGCCCCGTTTGGCATCCAAAGTGCTCCAGCATTTTGTGGCAACAACCATGTCGCATTGCCTTGAGGGCATTGTCCTTGCTCGCGGAGAACAACCACTGTGCTCGCTCGTCGACAGCCAGTGCTGACACCTTCAAGAGCCCCAGAGGAATCTTCATTTTTGGGGAATTGCGCGGAACACAGCTGCTGAGGAGCCAATGGAACTCAGCTAATCCATGAAGCAGCCACATCTGAGGCGCCGACCGCCGCGGTGTGCTTCAGCAGGGGTAATGTGGCGCCACGTGAAACCTGCAGCGTAAAGCCATTCTGATCTTGGAGCCACATTGACAGGGTGACCACCCGCGCACTGAGCTTAAAAGCATGTTGTGAGCTGTTGGATTCAACATGATTCGACTTTGAGGACAAGGCTTTGCTGGGCGCAAATTGCATCGCTGATGTATTGCAGCTAAGGCACACCACTGGGTGCGCTCATCTTCTGGAAGCCAACAGCCCCATCCTGAGTCAGATGCAACCTGCCACCCTACTTCAAGTGTGCTTCCTTTTAGATGCAGACGCTAAGGCCACACAGGCAGCAGCCCCCCTCATCTCTGCCGGTGACTAAGGCCTGAAGAAACAAACACCCTGACACAGTGTGTGCCACATGCCTCGAACCTGAGCTCTTGGCAACGCATGTGATGGATGCGGAGTAGCGGCAGGCAAACCTGGAACAAGTAAATCACACCTGGCAGATACAAGTGACATCAAGTGAATTCAAAGTCTTAAAGGACCCGGCTGGAGCTGGTAGTTTTTGGAATCCGGCGGCGACCTTTCAAGACTGCAGTCTGTCTGGAGGGACCCCTGTACCAGCACAATGCCAAGCAACCGGCTCCTTCCACAAGCTCATCTGTGAGCTGGGCAGGTCTGGTGCCTGTTGCCCATGCGATACATGGCTGCTCTTTTCAGATGCTTGTTAGTGCCTTGGGCTCCCAAGGCAACTTGATGTTGGTGAGCCTCCAGTTCAACGAAACGGAAGTCATCATCAGAGCAAGTCACTAAAGACTTCGATTCAGAACGCTACCACATGCTGGTGAGGCACTTGGTGTCAATTCGGGAAATCCAGTTGCAGTCTGCTGCCTTTCTCCGCACAACCCGGCGTAGCAAGTGCTCAGCAAGTCAACAGCAAGGTTGCAACCCGCGAGGCAGCACAAGCACAAGCTTCTGAGCCACTCACCCCCAAGAGCAGGAGACCTCTTGCAAATCAATCGAATCAGGCGGACGTCTCTCCCTCTCTGAGGCCGGCGCCACGACTTGCATCGTGAACCTGGCTCTGCACCATGCCGATTAGGGCCCACCATGCGCAGCAAATCAATCCAGGAGATGTCCCACCCGCCCCCGAAAAGAACTGGCCGGGCAAGCGAAACTGGTGATGGCATATGCCGACTCCTGCACCTTTCATGGGACCAAGTAAATGAAAGCTGGCAACATTTCTTCCTCTGTGCCCTCAAAATCCCTTCCGCAGCCACTATATTGCGCGATCTCACCGCAGAACTGGCAAGCGATTGGCCAGTCGCCTGGTTCTCTGGCGTATTCAACCGTGCTGACTTACAAACCCCAACCACCGCACCATCAGAAGAAACCTGCTGTCTTTCTTTAACGATTCAAGGAGCAGAGCTTAGCAGCCCTGCTTACAGGCTGTTCACCCGTGTAGATCCGCAAAGGACGTGCTTAAAGGCCGCTAAGGTTTCCAGAAGCCAGGCTTGTGAGAAATCTGGCCCTGATCCTCTCCCACCTCGCGTATAAGCCTTTACCAAAGACAGGACAACTCAGTCACAGGAAGAGCCTCGGACACCAGTCTTGGCTCACGGTTGCTGGGCCTCAGGCCACCAGGTCCCACAGGGGCATCAGCACATCATCAGCTTTTGAGGGCGGTACTGGCGGAGCGTCTGGTCGCGCTCAGACCTGGCCCAATTTTGCCCTCAGCAACATGTATAAGTAGCATAATTCAGTTAGCTGCAGCATTTACCAACTCTTGTGACCCTGCAAGCGTGACAGATGTACATCCCAAAAAAATCCTGCGCTTCGATGCAGTTGATCACATCCCGGCGGTGGGCTAGCCTCAGTTTGAACGGACCGCAGGTGCGCTAGCAATAGCTGTTTAACAAGATTGACCACACGATTGCACTCGCTGAGATGCGGGCCCTTGCCTTGCATTTGCAACGACTTACAATGCTGCAGAAAGCAGGGCCACGTACCAGGCCAAAGAGGAGGAGCTGATATGCAGTCAAGATTCAAATAAGAGGCTAGCCCGTTCTTCCGGGCCTCCAAATACTCATGACCTGGTCCACGGAACGGTGGCACACAAAGGTCCCGTAACACGGCTTTGCTTCTCAAGGGCTAGGAACTTGCTGCAAGATGCTGCAAGATAGCACTCACTTCACACCACACGGTCCCTTTCTAGCTCCAGGTATGCCGGCTCTGCTCGGTTTTCCATCCTCACTTCTTGCTCTTCTTCTTGCCGCCTTCCTTTTCCTTGGCCTGGGAGAGCTTCTCAGCCAGGACCTGCTTGACGCACTTCTGCTCCTGCGCATTGCGATTGCGCGTGTTCTGCTGACACCTATAGTCACCTATATCAAGAACAAACACAAGAGCGCAAAGGCGCAGGCTCCTCAATCAAGAAAGCCCTCACAATGCGGCTGCGCACGCAGTGGGCGCATCGAGATCCGCCATATGCGCGGTTGACGCGCTTCTCGCGCTTCTTCAGACGCTTGTACTCCACCGGGCGCAAACGCGGCAGGCCGATCAGGGCCATGCCACAGTCACCGCAGTGCGGGCCCTTGGCTTTCTTTTTGATCGCCTGGTACACTGCACGGCCGCCTGGCGTCTTCACAACGCGCTGCTTGTTGGACTTCGTGTTGTAGCGGCACTGACGACGATATGTCAGGCGGAAAGCCATTGCTCAGAGGAAGCGTGCCTGGAGCAACTCAATACCCCGCTTCAAGCCAAAGCTCAGCACAGGCAAAAACCACTCTCTAAGGCGTGTTGTGTGGGTGTGTTGGGCAGTGGAGCATACGCACGGAACTTGGAACTTGAAGGCGGCTGAGTTCCCAGGCTGAACTGTCGCACAACCTCAGCTATCAAGGCTCGCAAAAGAGTCGAACAATCCTCATCAAGGCCACTCTGCTCAGCCTTGGGCAGACTTGGAAGGAAGTTCTGGCAGTGAAGGCACTCGCCTTGCTTTGAAAACAGCCGCTGACCAACGAGTGGCCACACGTTGATTCAGCCGCCTTTTGAGGCCTTCGTGCATAACGGCCACATCATTGAAGCGCCGCCGCCTTGTGACAGTACATGCAACCAGCGGCCATGACAGCGCTTAGGCTGGATCGTCTCAAAAAACACTAGGATCCGGCAGAGTCCAAGGGGCGGAGTCGTTCATGCGAACCTGTTGCTGCGCCCCATTGAAATTATCTGCTGTCAGCAGTACAGAAAAAGGCCATTACACATGCGGACTGCAAGCGGCCTGCAAGATGTATTCGACATGCTGCCCGGTCTTTGCCAAGGACACTCGTGCCTGGCGGATTAGTCATGCAAGTCTATTTCCTGAATTTCCTGAAATGCCAAGTCCAAAGCATGCCAAGTTTTGACTCAAAACCTGCTGACCCAGCATACATGCACCCTTGACGTAACTGCCGCACCCCTGTCTTGCAGCGGAGCAGTTTGATGAAACCTGTGCATCTGGCAGTTAGATAGCGCCCGAAACAGTATATGAAAAGTCGAAGTGTCCCGAACCGGCTCTATTTGCCATTGTCAGCACTTATTGATTCCGCACAGTACGATTTGACACCGGGCCTTAAGCACCTCGAGGCCCTTGGCAATGCCCTGCGCGTCTTGGCCAGTTTCAACCTCATTTGTTAAGCGCTATCCATACTTGGAAAAATCAGGCAGGCAGAGCGTCGCATTAGCTTGCAGCATAGCAGTTACGTGGCATTGAGCCTATGGCCACCTCGTACTTCAGGACAGAGACTTGCAGAGACAGGTCTCGGCCAATCTTCGGAATGCCTGCCTTTCACAATTAAGACGTTCAGAGCAGGTCAAGCTGCGTGGAGAACGACACAAGCTAAGACTTGGGGACCGGCTGCCATGGCTGGCTCGGCAGCGTTGGACTTTAAGTTTCTGCTCCCAATGTTGGCTTGATACGGGTCGTCATGTGGCTGGAACGGATGATTTTCGTGGGCACAACTTGGTATGAGGGACTGGGAAGTGTCGCCTGGAGAAGTACCGTGACACAATCTCATAAATCTTCTGGCCGCTGTGTGGGCAAGTCCGGAAAGAGGATGCATGCTGTACTGGCGCATAGTGCACCAGTGGACTCTCACTTCAATGATTTTCTTTGATTTTGCTTTCTGATGCCGTCAGCAGCCCATGAACCAGGTAGACAACGCAAAGCGTGGCTTCGTGCCGGTCACCGGTAGCACTGCATGGTACCTCAGTCAGACACCCGCGGGAGATGTTTACACTGCAGCGCTGCATATGCTGGATGCCGCTGAAGCGCATAGTGTGCGAGAAAAACGCCACCTGCCATCTCGCAAGTTGTGGCATCAGAAGCCAGCAGCACAACAAGGGAACTGAGGCGCGCACCAGTGTGTCCCCTTCCGGTGCCACCGTGAAAAGATCGTGAGTCAAGGCCTGTCACATGACATGCACCCCGGGCAACTCAAATAGGCCTCTTCTTGGTCTTGGCTGAAACATTTGTTGTTGATCGCTTTCTTTCATATTTCAAACTAGGAGTGCTGCCTTGGATGGTAGACTTCGCATGTGGCGAACATCAGATGTCTCAGGTTGTTTGAATCTATCGAACCTGACAGGGGACATCCCTTCGTAGAGAGCAGGCGGTCAAGAAAGCGAAAGCCGCCGAATGAAGCCTTTGGGATTACTTCCTGGCCAAAGCATGCCGGCGCAGAAATGCGCAGAAGCCGCAAAGGCGCGACCCTAGAGCGCTGTGTATCTTTTTGGGGGTCCCTATAGTAAGGACGATAATAACGACTATAGTCACGTATATTGGGGTCTAGATTGGGGTCCCCCTTTTTGGGAAACTACCACATTTCTGCACCAAGCTACGGCTTTCAGAGGCGACGCCCCAGGGCAAGGAAGTATCTCCCGTTTATTGCTTGGCCTCGCTTCTGAGTCTGATCTTCAAGTCCATGGTAGGATCAAGGAGTTTGATGCAGACGCACATCCCATTATAACCCAAACATATACCCTATTGTACTATAGTAGTTTCCATTTTCTTTTCCATTATCCCAATATAATCCCAATATATACCATAGACTCTATATAACCCCTATATAATCCCTCTCTCTCTCTCTCGCAGACTCGGGTTCGTCAGCTGCTGTGCATAGCCGGGCAGGCCATCACTCTTGGAGTCCGGCCAGTTCACCACTCAATTCAAGCAGTGAAATTCACAACTATCAACGCACAATCACAAACTACAGCCTATATAATCCCTATAACAATAAATTAGTTTACACTTTCTTGTCCATTATCCCAAGATAACCCCAATATAATCCCAATATACTTAGACATCCACACATCTGGCCTCAGCTGTGGAGCTGGGCGCGCGTCTTGGGTTGGAGAGGCACACCTAGCGCGCAAGGCTCAAACTTCCACAGAAGTGAAAGGCCAACGCGTAAGAATTCTTTGTAAACATCGGAGGCTGGCTATGACTTACTGGCTGTTAGGAGGCAATACGCGAATATAATCCTATATTCCCCTATTCCCTACTAGGAACCAGTAAGATGATGGAATGTATGAACACTGCCCGCGCCTGAAAAGCACCTCCATCCTGGCAAGCTGGGGCATCGACTCCCTCTGGGGGTTTCCCACAATTGAAAATACCTTTCTGGGGGTCCCTATACTAAATGTTATTGCATTTTTGGGTCTATATTGGGTACCCCCTATATGGAAACTACCAGTTTCCGCGCGCCAGCGGATGCCTTTTCAACGTCCCATGCCCCGTCGGCAATGTAGTAGACAAGCGTCAACCTCCTTCCCACACAACACACACAGACACACACATATATTTGTATAAATACACATGTATATATATATATATATGTATGTATGTTCACGTGTTTCAGACATAAACTTTATGCACGTGCGAAAACATGTGTACATGTGCATATACATACATATATATGTATATATACATGTGTGTATGTTCTCTGTGTATGCAAAAATACTACCACCACGAAAAGGCACTGCATTCATAGCGCGCGCAGTACATTGGCAGACAGATGAGCTGCTGCGGATCCTGCCATCGTCTGGCACTGCCATATTTGTCCTCAGACATACACGCAGAATATCGCACGACATGTCATCATGAGTCAGGCAACCTACCAGTCGCTCAAATTGCAGCTATGAGTCATGTATGGATTGTCCACGTGGAACCCATACTGTGCATCCGGAACGCTCTTCCCGTCGTAGCACCTGGCAATTTGTGCTAACGCGGATGCCCTGAATCTGCACGCACGCAATGCGCAAGCATGACTGCAATAAAGGCAGGACGGGATTTGGCACCCACACAAATTGGCCAGAGCCACGACAGCATGCCCGGCGTTCGTTTCGTCAGAGTCAGGCCCAGCTGCTCCTCCAATCACGTTCCAGCTTACAACTCCCGCGCATCCAAGACAACAGCCTTGATTAGATGGAACAGCAGCGTAGCTCCTCCAATAACTTCTTCACGCCCCAGCCAAAATCGCCCAACTGTGTATCCAACACCTGCTCCAAAGAGGCTCGACTTGACTATAGATTGTACCTGTGGCCTAGCAAATGCGCTAGGCCTTCATGGCTTGGGCTTTCTTGCCAAGGGCATCAATGACTGCAGTGCTCAGGCAAATGACCTGTGCAGCTCCACACGGCTTGTGGTTCTTACCAGTCTTGACACAGTCGAGACCTGCCTAGTCAAGTCAAAGCACAGACGAAATAACAGAAACAAGAGAATGCAGTCACTGAGGAAAATGGACATGACCTTGCTGCTGTCAGAGACTTTCTACTCGCAAACCTTTCATCACGTGCCTTGTCATCCCGCTTGTTGAACTGGATTTCGTTGCTGCCTTGCTTCTGCAATTATCACATTTCGTTTGCCATACATGCCATACCGCCGCCTCACCGACAAAAATTAAACATGTCTGTAGCATCTGACGAGCACGTGCAGCTTTCTGGCCTGGTGCGGATGGGCTGCCCTTGCTGGCTTCGGTGTATGCCCCAGCATCCTTGGCGGAGAACCAGGTAACATCCCATCTTCTAGGAGGAGGGGGAATGCAGCAAAGTAGCCCAGAGCTGCTTTGCTTCCATATGGACTGCCCTTTGGAACGACCTGCATGGCAATGCATCCTTCCACGTACCCTCCGGTTCTCAAGCTTGCCATGCTGTAGCGAAAGCAGGCACACAACGAGTCGCAAAACGGAGCTTTCACAGACCACACAGCTAGAAAGAGTCATCTGAGTCCTCTGGATCCACGCAGGAGTATGAGGCTTTGTTGTAGCCATAGACTCGTAGTGCATGTGCACCAGCACAAACCACAATCAATCCAAACAAACCGCCCAGAACCAAGGGCCACTCTGCATGATGCTTGAATGGCACCGTGGGCTCTGCTACTGTCATGCTCTGCTCCTGCCCATTCTCTCGATAGCGCGGTGCTGGCTTCCCACTTCTGCTCTCAATCGTGCCAGGTGCTCTGGGTGTCCTTGCCACAATGTCAACTGGTGGAGCTGTGGCACTGGGCAGCGCTGTTGGCAGCGCAGTGGGCAGCGCTGTGGGTAGAGCAGCCGGCACCGCAGCCGGCAGCGTGACGGGAATTGCAGGCACAATCACTGGAGCAAGCGTTGGAGTTTCTCCAGGCTGAAGCCCAGGCAGCAAAGTAGAAACTGCTGGCAGTGAAGTCACCGAGGCAACTACTCCTGGAAGGTTCGGAGGGATGGCGACCTGCTCACTCAAAGTACTAGTTGCCATGCGCAGCGTAGTGGTTTCCTGATTGGTCACCTCCGGAGTGACCGGCGTAGTCTCTGTTACATAATCGATGGGACCCTTTTCAGCTTCACCACCTAGACTCTGCCTTTTGGGTGTCACGGCGGCCGCAACATTGGTGACCAGCACCTGACTCTCCTCCGTAAATCTTTGTACGTCAGGGTCACGGTGGTCCCCGCGAACTCGGCTGACAGCATGTGGGCAAAGATGTTGAATGTACTGACCCGCCACAGCCGTCTTGGCAAACTTTGTGCCTTTTCTAATAACAGGAGGATATGGCATTGAGGCCTGGTAAGGGTCTTCCATGTAACAACCCGCAGTGGTGGAGTACTGCCAGGCCTGACAGGAGGTCAACATGCACTCTGCAGTTGTGAGCATCTGTGCATCACGCCTGGCATGCCAGCACCGACATGCATAAATTCGCGCAATGATGCACCGCCTCCAGCAAGTCTCTTAATGCAGCGAGGTGAGCATGCTTCCTGCGCTAAGAAATATACTGAAAGTCTGAAATACTTGGCTTTATTTTCAGGTGCTTGCACCCCACCTGGCTACTCCTTGACGGTCATCAGCAAGGCATCTACTAACACACTCTTGCCGCCTGCTCTAGGCTAGTGAAGCGCGTTCCCTCGGAAGCGAACATGAAGCTCAAACCTGAGCTGCAGCTGGCACAACACACGTTCGAACATTGACATGCTTGCTGGTCACAAATGCTCATGACAGCTCCGAACACAACATCAAGAATTAAGCGCCGCACCCAGTAACTGAACCCCGGTCAGATTGGCCAAAACCTGCTGAACAAGCCCTCTTGACAGTTTGCACAGTATGTGATGGCAGAGCCACCCTGTAGACGCCACGCTGAAATCGGCCAGCAGCAATGACGTGGAGTGGGTCGGCTACTTGCTTGAAGCAATCCTTCCCCACTCCTGGCAAAGCAGGCGGAGTTGGCTGAGCGACCCCTCAGCCAACCCATGGCCGTGTCAGAGCCCTCATCAACTTGGGACACCCCCGCGTGCCTTGAAAGCACTCGGCTCCTTCCGGTGCATTGGCCTTGCGGAGTGGTGCGAATGTCTGTCGCTTGCCAATCCATCCCCTCATTGGCCACAGCTTTTTCGAGTCGTTCACAAGTACGTGCATATCAGCAAATCCTGTACAGTTCGGAGTCCAGGTCATGAGCCAGGGCACGAAAATGCCTGACATGATGTCAGGCAGCGAAGCACCTGCTGACGTACCTTGACACAAAACGCAGGAGGAAGTGAGCACCCAACATTCTCAGCGCAGCTCGTCTTGAGCACACCAGGAAAACCTCTCGTGCTGCCGCAAGCAAGCACGTCCAAAATGCTGAATTGAGTGTCTAATTGTTTAATGAATTGGCAAGATGTGGATCAGCCGGTCAAAAATTGAGCAACAATGTGCGAATAACAGCCTTCCACCTACCCCAGCAGCCAGTACTCTGTACTGTACTGCCACCAGGAGCCCCACGGCACCACCGTGCATGCAATGTAACTATCCTAGCGAAGGACAACATCTCCAGAGACCGCCCGATGGTCGCTGCCCGCAGCCCTTGGCCAGATCTGAGATGCTACGAGTGAAGTTCCAATTGAAAGCGGCGTCTTCTGGAAGTAGACATAATCCAAGCGAACCGGATCATCATTGATAGTTGATGGATCTGGGTTGCCGGGATTCAACTCCGCCCATGCATCCGTAAACGTCAAGGGAACCGTCCAGTGTCTGCCGAAGCCTTCTGCACTTCCCTGCCTCAGAAGTTGCTGGGACGGTTGGAAATAGCCCGTGTTCAGATCTCCCATGAGCACAATCGGGTATCTGTGCGTCTGTTGTACCTCGTGAAGTACGTTGGTCACGAACTGCACGGCCTCCAGGATTACAAAGTCCCCCAGGCAGCAGAGAGGATGAGTGCCTGCAGCGATGAGCGTGTAATTGTCAGACTTGCGACGCAATACTGCCCAGTTGATGGCTCTGCCAGAAGAAAACGGAACAAGATCGCTTGCAATGTGCTCCCACTTGTCAGAGCGGAACAAGATGTCTGCATCGTTGTACTGCTCCGTGGCACCACCAGTTGCAAAAGCCCAAACGTTGCCGGACACCTCGTTGAGGCGATCCAAAATGGCAAACTTCTCATTCCACATTTCTGGTATGGCTGCGATCTCCGGCTGCATCCTCAACAACTCATCTACCACGGGGTTGATTCGACCTGCTAATGTGAAAACGTAAAGGTTCCAGGTCACGAAGCGAGTGGCATCACCAATGCTAGGTGGTGGTGACGGCTCCCGTGAAGTTGAAGGCTCTGACCCTGCGATCTGCCTGGGCCAAGCGCAAAGGTTTGCACCAAATGTGCAGTGTGCGCCTGTTGACTGATGGCAGTCCCATATGGGATTCGCATTGTTGGGGTCTTTGAAGCATGCGAATGGCTCAGTCTGGTGCCCACACCATGCATTCATTGCTAGCTCAAAATTTGGCTTCTCACTGCAACTAGGAACATCCCCCAATCCACGCGGCACTATGTCTTTGGCACCGCGTAGCCCGATTGTCTGTGCTGAGGAAGTAGCCTGGTTGTAGGCAAAGCAAAAGTAGCTGAGCCACCCGAGACGCTGCATGGCCTCTGTTATCAGTAGGACTGCAGCAGGCTACTTTACAGAACACTTGAGCCACTCAAACTTACACCCAGAGCTGGAGACATGCTTCTCCTGTAGCACTTACCACAACGTACAAAAGCTGCAATGTTACTCACGAGAAAGCGCGGGCGTAAATGCAAGATTCAGTCCGCCTTGCCCTTCAGACGCACCTGCCAGGCTGAGCCTTGCAAGCACGACAAATCCAAGATGCTGTCGGTCGGCTTTTGTTGTCGTTTGTTTGTTGTATAAAGGCTCTTACTGCAAGCCCTCTGGCCGCTGGCCCAACACCGCCTGTGCCATGATTGGCAGCCATCATGTCGCAGGCAAACGTTCCAAACATAGCGCCATTTTTGAAAGTAATTGAGACCTCGACACAACACGTTCCCAGCACAGCTTGCTGCACATGACCTTGGCTAAGCAAGAGTCATGCTTTGGCAGTGCATGGCTGCAACGGCTACTAAAGGGAATCGCTACCATCTACCTTGGGCGCAAGCAACTCAGACAGGTTTGGCACCCTCTGCAGATCAACGCACTGCCTGAGATTTGTTCGTAGCTCGTGTCACATGCTCCACGAAGCACGCAGATAGAATGCCAAAGCTTACTGCGGCCTACCAATATTAGATACAATTTCGGGCAGAATGAAGGGTTCTACATGTTCCGCCTTCACAAGTTGAACCTTCTCAAAACTGAGAACACCTTCACAAATCTCAAAGCGTGACAATTACGCTTGGACATGTTCCCTTTTTGCTCTTTCTAGCCATTATGCGTCCCCATCCCTGCGCATGCAGAAATCATGCCCCTGGCCCTGCAGTCGAGGTGTTCTCGATTGAGGTCAGCGGATTGGAACTGCAGGCGACGAATGGCATGCCGCTTCTCTGCTTGCAACTGCTAGATGGATCGCTGCAGTCTGCACCTGCAGTATTCAGGTTGCCAATTCCGATTGATCGGCCAACACCTTGTTTGCACAGTTTTTCTGCGAAACTCAACATGGCCATAGTTGGCAATGGCTCAGGTTCAGGCTGCACGCTAGTGGGTGCGAACCCCATGGGCCAAGCCCTGTCGAAACATCTTGAGTAATTTCCGCAACAAGCTCCGCACCACAAGAACTTTTAAAAGCTAATGCATTTTCGATGCACTACAACCAGCCAAGCCCAACGATGCGGGCACCTCTGACTTGCCTGCGCCGTCTCCGCCGGAAACCTGCATGACAAGGCATGGTGAAGATGCTAAGCTGCTAAGCTGAACGCTATGTCCTCCACATATCTCCACATCCTCAGGCCATGGCTCCTTGATAGGAAGTTCTCGACAAGCTGGTGGCTCCTCCGGACATGCAACAGCGCCAAAAATATTGCAAATAAAACATCTTCCACATGGATTCCTCTGGACAATTTGCTGGGCCAGACCTTGGTCCCCAAAAGCTGAAACTATATCAGGTACACATATCTCCGGCGTCAGTGACGACGCCGAAAGAACGAACAGCAACCACAACCCCAAACGAAAGCACGGTACCAGCTGGCGGTTTGCCACAAGCATAAGGCTCACACACAGCACCTTTCGCAGCGACAGTGCCAGTATCGCTGGCCCCCAGGTAGCAGAACTCGGCATCGACAGGGCTGCTTGCTGCAAACTGCAAACATTCCAAAACGCAAGCCAAGGGAGCAGCTCTGGAAGCAGGGAAATACACAAAGCGTCCGCATCCTCGCCACCATCAACAATTGAATCGAAAGTGTCTAGCATGCCCTCATGTAAGCAAACACGATTGCACCCTGCGGCCTGATGTCCGTTGGCACAGAAACTGGCACTCAAACCGATCCAGCACGTCCTGTCACGACTGGAGGCTGTTGCATCATCGTGCCGCACAGTTCCCAAAATCGGCCTGAATAGGGTTGGTCACGCGGTCCAAGTGGGTCAGCAGAAATCTGACCAAATGCCATAAATGACCCCCAGGCAGCACAACACATGTTGGCACTCTCAGAAGCCTGCCTCGCGTCCCCCAAAAAACAGCCTGCGCAGGCAAAGACCACAAACGCCTGAAAGCAAAGCCTGATTTTGGTCCGAATCTCCGGATTTGCCTGGCACTTCTTGCCCTGCGCACTGAGACAGCAAACATGCCTCGACGGCAGTCAATGCTTATGGGGACGGGGGGCATGTGCACAGGCAAAATGTCCAACTGTTCAGGTGCAATGCAAAAACCCTGAGGTTCCCGCTGCCAACACGCACGCCCGTGGAGACATGGCGCTATACAAATCATGCCATGGTGGGCAACGTTGGTTGCAATGATGACATGCGTGACATTTTTTCACTCATCCGTGTTGTGACGACCTGTATGTGCGGAGACATGTCCCGAACAGCGCATCCATGGGCATGACCATTTTTTGTCTTGATAGGCTGTGGACACAATAGTCAAAAACCTCACAACATTCCAAACCAGAAGGATCCGACTCTTACTCACCCCAAGGTTCTGGGCAATCAGGCCTGTCTGCCCCAGCTTTGATAACGCAGATTCCACGCTCCTGGCAATTCGCATGTAAACATGCAAAGCTGACACCGACATCTGCCGCACAACCAAACCATCCTTAAGCTTGTTGACGACTATCTGGGCAGTTTCCATGCTTCTGTGGCCGACAAGCTGAACCTCGGCATCTGCATCACGCTAGCCATCAAAAAGATTTGCGGGAAAGTAAGGCACTGACATCATGTGGTGCTGGCATCGTTGGTTTGGTCGCAGGTGTGTTCCAACCTGCGTGGCTCCACCCGCTGCAACCATAACATGTTTCCTGCACGATGGAACCATGGACCGTTGCGCTATGTGCTGACGGGCGACGCAAAGTCGAAGGCGTGCTTGGTCCGGCAGCTGTGTCGGCCTCAAAAAAGATTCCCCAGTGAACTTACAGTTTGTCATTATGCCACAAACACAAACTTCACAGGTGCTCGCATTGTCATGGTTGGTAGGTTGCACCTCCTGGCAAAACGGAAAAACAACTCACTGCAGATTTGGCATCATTACAGGCCTGCCCCAACATCACGCGGACGGCATCCCATTCGATCTCCTTCTGCGTGGGCATGACCTGGATCTCCATTGTATTTTACACTGTCTCGATCACATGCGTGCGTGAGTCCGTGATTATCTCATCAGCCAGTGGGCCACACGGCAGCTGGGCCCAGCACATGGCAAGCCTTCGGTTTCAGGCACGGTTCCACATCGAGCTGTGCTGCAGCCGGCGGAACCTGGCGCTCGCATTGGTAGCAGGCTTTGCTTGAAAAACATTTTTTGGCCATGCCGGGGATGCTTGCACACAATGTCCTTTGTGCTGCAACCAGTCAGCTCGCTGGCAGTCCTGGTGGATTTGTACAGAAAACATGGATCTGTTCCCACCACGTACGCTCAAACCGTTGTTTCATGATCGCCCGGTCCGGGCCGCAGTACGACACTTTCCGGCAACGCGAGCACCGCGCGCAGGCTTGGTTGCCACATACATGGCAGGTGCCCAAAATGTCGCCGGCCATGCTAATTCTTGGCCGGCACAATGATCAGCCAACAGCAGTTCGTAAGTTTCAGCGGCAGTATGCTGACAAGCACAACATAACGCTGACGAATGCGCATGCTGGTTGTAAGCTGTATGTGCGCAGGTTTCACCCATCGGTTAAATGCTCACCCATCGGTGCGGGCAAACGCAGAAAAAGTTTGTCTTGACCTACGATGTGGATCCACAATTTCAATGGCTGAAACCTTGTCTAAACTGATATTATTTCATATGCGGATCAAGACTGCGCACTTGTCTCTCTAGGAGTATGGGTTGTTTACTTGTTGTTTGTCCTTTGCTTGACCTGACGGAATGCATATGATCATGTTCAGTTGCGATAATCTGCAGCTCGCACATCTGCACCCACGTCTGGGCCAATCACTGAACGCACGTCAAAGAACACAATCCGGGCGATTGTGGGGGGGCTTGCCACACCCTCGGGTCAGGCGGCTAGGCCGTCCTTCATCAAGCCCTAAACTAGGCGACGCTCAGCGCTGCACCAGAAACATTTTGATGGTTTTGCATTGTTCCACACTTGCGGCCCCCAATCGCGCATTAAGACGGCAGCATATTCCAGCGTTTGCAAGCACAGAAAATGGCGCGGGGGGTCCTACATTGAAACGTTGTAGATGCGCGATGCTGACGATGAGTGTCTCCTGCCCGCAATGTATTCGAAGTCGTTCGTTGCCGCGCTTTTCAATCTCTAGTATATCCGCCGCGCATAATCATAGGCTGCGAGCAAAATGAGCTCAGCAGATTGAACGTTTCCATATCGGAGTGGAGATGCATGCGGAAGATGTTGCCCATCCACATAATGCTTATTTGACATGCTGATAAGGGGGTCATTTTGGTCCCCCCAGAAAGGCCCCGATTTTGGCCCGGACAGCCCGGACTCCTACCCCGGACTCCCAAGCAACAATATGAAAGATCCTAACATGTCATTATACATCAGCCATCTACATTCCCCCCACCCCCTTAAAGCGAAAAAAATCCGAGCCATGAAAGCTCTTGACACTTTTTCAAACATCAGGCATCCAAACCCCCCCACCCCCTTAAAGCGAAGAAAGCGACTTTAGCGTTTGCTAGCGAACCCATGGCCTCCTCTACACCCCTCACCCCCTCAGAGCCAGAAAGCCAGAGCCATGAAAGCTCCTAGCACTTCTTCAAACATCAGCCATCCAAACCCCCCCCACCCACACCTTAAAGCGAACAAAGGAACACCCAGCCCGCACAGCCCGGCATCCCGCCCGGACTACTACCACAGACTTCCAAGCGAAAATATGAATGCTCCTAACATCAGCCATCTACATCCCCCCACCCCTGTAAAGCGAACATATGGATACCGCCCCTCTAAAACGAAAAATCGAAGCCATGAATCCTGCCCGGACCATGACCCTGGACTCCCAGGCGACAATATGAATGATCCTAACATTTCATCATACATCAGCCATCTACGCCCCC